CGATCGTGGTAATAACTTGCTGTCATTAACAATATAAATACATCTGAAAAATTTCGTAATGACACGGAACAGAAATTTCAAAAATGTTCACTGTTCAAAGTTTTCGTAATAAAATTCCAAATTGTTGGTACTTACAGTTGAGTTTTCTTCGCCAATTTCAGAGAAATGTTTGAAAGTTAAAACTTTCAAAAACTTCCAAATCTACATAAGGATAAAGTGTTAATACTTGCTTACAAACCAGAAATTACGGTTTCACATACATAGGTACTAAACTTTTTGGACACCCTTTGGAATGTTTGGAAGTAGAAGTATTGATAAAATCATTTAAAAAACTCTCGATACAAATGTCGCTATTTTAAAGTTTCGGTAATTCTGATGCTAACCATTTGTTTCCTATTACACGAGATTACTTTTGGATTAAAAACCACAATTGAATTTTAAAACTTTCTGTTTGAGTTAGCCTAATTGATCCAAAACTGTTAGGTTGGATATGCCGAGCGCACTTTCCGGACTTTATGGAAACTAAAGGTCCCCAACCATGAATAATTCCAGCTTCATGCAAACGTTATCAATTAGTATCAATTCTCACTCCCCAAAAAAATCTCACACCCCCAAAAACTTTACTCCACCCCATTTTTCCTCTCACTCTTTTTAGAAATGCAACGCCCCGTTCTGAGTGGTTGTGTTATTGAGGATCTGTAACAATCAAACTATTTTGCGTTCTGTTTCTAAGCTATCAGAAGTCTGCCATGTGGTTTTTGAAACTAATTCGTACCAAACTATTTGTGGTAAATTTGAAAATCATGATGTTTCATACTGTTCAAAAATACAGAGAAGTTGAAATTGTTGTACAACCAATAATTGTTAAGCTTGTAGGCATCAATCACCATTCGATTTTTAACTCTAACAATAGCTTCTAACTCTAAAACTCTAAAATTGTAAGACATCCATTATTTGGAAACGGTAAGCATACTGTATTATGGTTTCTGTGCAACAACAGTAAGTTTTGTATTCTACCTGTTTCAAATCATTTATGTTCGAAGGAAAATTTCTGATGATGATCGAGGTATCTACAGTGCTCCACATAAAAATACGCCACTCTCAAAATTTCGAAAAATTCGAAACCTGTCTTGACCGAAACTTCGATTTCTCTAGAAAAACACGTATAGTTGCCGTCAGTTTTACTTAGAACATCATCTGAAAATTCCGAAAAATTAAATTACGGAAAAAAGATATTTTATCTAAAAAATCGAGAAAAATTAATCCACAAAATGATACGCCTGGCAGTAAAACTCCCAAAAAATAAAAGGAATCGTTTTTCAGAAAATTGTATCCGGCCCAATAGTTGATGAGGCGACCATTACGCCTATCACATCGAAAATCCGAGAATCCATATCCATAGAGAAGGTTTTCCATCAGTTTCTGCTCCACTAGAAGCCTGGCAAAAACCTGATTAAGGTCCGATATGACGTCAAAGCCTTTGTTTCTATCGTAAATCTTCTTCATCATGGATCCTCAACCGTTTTTGAAAATGTACAGATCAGGAGAAGTGAAATCCGGGAACTGGGTTTCCATAGCCACCTCTCGACTTGGATGATGTGATTTAGGTCACGGTTTAGAGTTACCACGGGTGCCTTCCACATTTTCCTGATATGGATAAACTGGACTTTTGAAAATACCCGACAAACAGTACTTGCGGACATCGACAAACCCGTAACTTCTTCATTCTGGAGCATGTGACAGTTAAGAGCCAAAGAGAGGTCAAAGTGAAGCTAAAATGGCTCAAAGACCAAAATGAAGACTACACGCATTGCAACTACTCTCCCAAAAAACCCCCCCCCCCCCCGTTTCTTATCAATTGTTCGTTTCTTCTAGAACATACACACTTTTAATAGGTCACTGTGTTATCAAATATATTACCCTAAAATACTGTTTCAAAATGTAGGAATAGAGTCGGGTCCGCTCTTGGTATGTTATTTTTACCACACGGGGTCGGCAAAACTGAAAGTTTATGTGTTGAGAATCTGTAAAATCCGTAAAACTCGCAAAAGATTGTTTCTGATAAGCCGAGCATTTCTTATTTAATGGAACCGTCGTTTTTTGAGTTTTCTATAACTTTTCTGGAGCTTTTGGACTGTAACTTTCTTCAAAATCTCACTAGATATCTGAAACAACATGGACAATGAAGAAAGGAATCTGCGTTTTTTGAGTTATTTATTGAATTACGAGGAGAGAAATATAGGGGATACATGTATCAGTAAACTTTTTTGCAAGTGATCATCACAACGTATAAAAGTTTTTGGGGAGAGAAAAAATAAGACACATTTACCAAAAAAAAACCAAAAAATGAACGGGGGAATTTTTGAATTCGAAGATACAGTAATCTGGGGAAAAAAAATATTGCAATGGAAAGGATAGAGAAAAAGTTTTTAATAGCAAATTCGAAGAAAGGAAAGTTCTGGATTTCTAGATTTTTTGGAGAGGAGAGAGGCTATAAAAATGGGAACAGATCATTCAGAGAAGTTGGACGCGTAGCTGGGGGGTGTTTTTTGAGGACAGGGGGGCGGGGTTTGGGTTGGAAAGACATTACAAGAGGACTAAAATATGGGACTTTTTTTTGGGGGATGGTGAGATTTTTTGTTGAAGCTTTTAGAAGTTTAAAAAAAGAAGAAAAGATTTACACGTAACAGGATTTTTCTTAGAAATGGGTCATTGGGGGTTTTTTTGAATCGAGAATTGGGTTTTGATTATAGCAATGGTGGGTTTTTTGACAAAATACCTGAATGAATGCACCAAGAAAATGAAGAAGGAGAGTAATAAAATGGGGTTGAAATGACATTAAAAACCAATAATTTTGAATGGGATCCCAGAGTTGGAGGTGTTTTTTTTTTGTTGAGGAGTTGCACTTTGTAACACAGATGATTTTTAAGCGAGAGACAAAAGAGATGATATTACTAGGGGGTTTTGACTAGGTGGTGAGGGGTCTAGATCTTGAAAGCTCCTATGAGAGGTTATTAGGGCAAATAGATATTATTGTGGTTCGGAGAAAAACGAGGAACATTTACTCTATTCTCTAAGCTTCTAGAACGATTTTGAACCGAGTTATGTTGGGAGACGAAGCCAAGAAGAGGATCTAGCTGTCTGCGGCTATAATTCTCTTCGAAATGAACATAGAGCATTGAAAGTTACTGGAATAGATAGAAAAATGTATTTTCTATCGAATCGTCTTTTTTTGAATTTTTTATGACTTTTCCGAAGCGAGTTACGCACAATATAACAGTTAGAGAGACGCAGACAACGAGACGCGCTAGTCGTCTGTGTCTCTCCTCGCTTTCATTTGGCTATAACTCTCTTCAAAATGGTCGTAGAGGGATCAAATAAACTGGAATCGATAGACAATTAAATTTTCTATCTGACACTTCCAGAGCTTCGAAACGAAGTTTCTCAATAGAGCGCACTTACCTCATTTTCTCCTTTCACCACATTAATAAGCAGCATCACAGCAGTTTAAAAAGCATATTAGGTGGGGGCGGGGAGTTTTGGGGAGATGACATAAAGTGAATTAAAGGCACAGAGACAATTAGGGAAACAAAGAAAAGGCAAGAGGATGGGAGTGTTTTAGAAAACGAAGTGAAATTTTTGGGAGGGATGAAAAAAATACCACAGAGAGGAGAATAAAGGCGAGTGTCAGTCACTGAAATGGGCGTTTGGCAGGGTTGTAGAATCTTTTTGAGGGGAAGAAGAAAATCACCAGAAAAAATACAGCAGCAGAAGAAAATCGGATTACCCGGGAGTGGAGAAAATATCGGAGAAGAAAAGTGTAGTTTTTTCGAAAAGGTAATACGCGTTTTTTTTCAGGGGGAGAAGCACATTTAAAGGAGGGAGGGGTTTTTCAAAATTCTGATAAGTATCGAAAATTATAGCACAAGCATTGTTTTAAGGAGACAGGACACAGGACAACCCGTTTTTGTAGCTATAAACGTACATGTTCAGGGGGAAAAATGGGAAATGGGAAGACTATAGAAGTTTCGAGAACCAGGTTGTTGAGAAGAGACTTAGAGATTTTAAAGGGAAGAATATGAGTATGAAAAAATGGGCAAAAATAGAAGAAGAAGAAAAAAGATTATGTATGTACACAAGGAGTTTTGTGAAGGTTTGGGACTTTTTTGCGGCTAGCGCATGAAAAAGGCCAAAATTGATTGGGAAATGGCTCTAATTTCCAATACGGAGACCGTTCAAACGAGTTCCGTTGAGCAAGTCGGCGGTGCCGAACATGTCATAGTAGCGTGGAGTTCCATTGTCCCGAGCCGGTTGAGCACCATCGGCAAGATCACCGCCGATTTGGGAGCCGGTGAGAGTGCGGTCGCCGATTGAGCCGGCTTCTGGAAATTGAGCAGTTATATTCTGGGATTTGGAGATTCAAAGATTCTGAAGGATTTTGAGAGCCCAAGATTCCAGAATCTCCAGGCTCTAAGACTCTCAGACTTTCAGATTCTTAGATTCAGATATCCAAAGATCCAAAGATTATAGGATCCAAAGATTCTAGGATCCAAAGATCCTAGGATTCTAAGATCTTAAGATTCTGATATCTCAAGATTCTGAGATCTCAAGATCCTAAGATACCAAGTTTCGAAGATCCTGAGATTCTGAGATTCTGAGAGTGTGAGACTTTTTGATTCTGAGATTCTGAGATTCTGAGATTCTAAGATTTTTTGATTCTGAGATCCCAAGGTCTTAAGAGTGCAGGATCCCAAGATTCTTAGATCTGAAGACTTTAAAATCCAATGACTCCAAGATCCCAGGATTCCAAAATTCTGAGATCCTAAAATTCTAGAATCCTAAGATCTTAAAATCCTAAAATTCGATCCTGAGATTTTGAGACTCTGAGATTCTAAGATTTTAGAATTCCAAAATTTTACCAATCTGAGTTTATTACAAAGTGCGTATTACTAATAAATGGATAGCTTTTGTGTCTTTTCTCGAAAATGTGAAACCGGAAAAAAGAGTTTGTATTAGCACTGATTTATCTTCTTAACCTACTCATCAATCTACAGTAGGACACTGGCTAGTTTGATATGCAGGTTCTTACAGTGGTTTAGCATTTAGACAGCGTTCAATAGATATCTCTGCATTCTATTGTGAGGTGTTTGCAGGAATTAGCTTTACAGTAGTTTCTACAAAACCAATAACATCAAAATGCAGATAATATGGCAGAATCTCACACGAAACATGGTAAGATGAAAACGGTTACAAAACAATGAGAAATTGAAACAGTGAATTTTCGGTATACCATACATACTGGAGACCTAAATGATCTTAAATTATCTACGGCACCATTACTAAAAGAGCTCAAAACTCTGCTCAAAAAAACAGGTAACAAAACAGCAAATATTATTGTAAAACCGTATCCCGATGTATGTGTTCTCTGACTATAAGTGAATAAAAAGTCAAAGTTCAAAGACATGTTTAAAGGATTGTTTGAGTAGCGGGGAGGACATCGTACAGTCACTTTGTGACTCATATGTGTACCGTGGTATAGGGTCGAGTTTTGAGTCTATTACGGTTTAAATTTTTTTCCTGTTTTGAAAACTAGGTAAAATGGAATTAGGATCAGTCAATCCAATACACGACCTTCTGGAAAAGGAAAAAAGAAATAGATCAGTCGGACCATTGTGAAGAGGTCTACAACATTTACTGTTTCCATTACCTGTGAAGGACATGATGGTTATAAGAAGAATGTTTTAGAACAATCATCAGCTTAAGTAAAATCTAGATCCTCAAAACTAAAAAACTCACGATTGGATGGCGAGAGACGATCCTGCTGATTTGCCCCATCGACGCTTGGTGGCGATGCGGATCCTCCAGAAGCTCTAGACGAAGATCCACGAGTGTTTCCACCAATGACGGCGGCACCACCTCTTCCACACTGGCACTGACAAGTGCATCCAGTACGTCCGATCGGATTAATGAACATACGATCCAAAAGCTCATCAGCCTGAACACCAATGCTTCTCTCGTTCTTGGCACTTGGTGGCATTGCCAAGATGGAGTTGAAGTTGTGGCCTCCGAGGAGGGTCTCGTTCATGCCGAGCGATGAGAGACGTGGATTGTTGGAAGGGGTGTTGGACCAGGTGTTTGGTGAGAACAGTGGGCTCCATTGGTCTCCGCTGTTGCCGCTTTGGGAGAGAGATGATTGAGAGTCCCAGAGGGAGCCAGGGCGAGCGGCGGCTGGTGTCATGGCGTGCTGGAATAGGAACTTTGTGGAATCTGTCTAGATTTAGCTAGCGATCTGGCTAGTCTAATAAAGGCATACCTGATGTTGCTGCATGAGCAAACTTTGTGGTTGTGGTCTTCCTGAAGCAAACGCTCCACCCATTTGAGCCGACATAGTTCTTTGAATTCCACGTGGTGGTTGACCGTAACCCAATTGTTGACGACGGCTACTATCCAACTCGGGGAAGTGTTGCTTGATGAATCCGACATAATCGTAGCTTGGCAAGTTGCGACGAACCGAGACGTAGGTACGATTTGGGAACAAGGCAAAGACCCAGTTGTGAGCAGTGAGCAAGTTTAGGAAGTCTTGACGACCGTCTCCATTGTGATCACGGACTTCTTGTGGAATTTCGGGGCTGATGTAGAAGTCGAAAAGGGATTGGATCGAGGTGGCGCCACCGTGACGGAGCAAGAAGGAGGAAAGCTGGTAGACGGCTTGGTAGACAGCGGGGTACTGTAAGATTAGAGTTTTTGCAACCATGACTCTCTTAAACTAGGAAAATCGTATGTCCCTCAAAAATTTAATATATCAATGAAACAGAACATATTGTTTTTTTTAAATCACACTAAAACCTAGCTACCGTATCTACCCTAACTATAGCATCTACCGCAGAGCTAAATTATCTCGATTGCCATGAAAGATATCAAAAATCTGTCAATTGTTAAAATGTCGCTGATATTATGATAAATATTTTATCAGTTGAACACTTTTTGATATCTTACAAAAGAACCGAGATAATAGAGATCAAACTAGACGTAAAAGGTGGTCAATGAGCACTTTCGGTAGAAAAGGCTTATGTAACAGTTAATGACTTGGATACGGTAATTTATGTTTTATGTGTAACAGATTTAGAAAAAAGTTGTTTTTTGGGAAGTACAGGATGTTTCATAATTACACTGGCTGATAAAGACGGGTATATCTTCAAACGTAAGTCTCTTGGAATCACAAAACTGGGTAGAAATATAATATTACGTTTGATTCAGAGCTACTAAAATTTTTAGAGCGATTCCATAAGTCTAGTTATTGTTATGATTGTCCAAAGATGAACTTTGCAATTTGCATGAGCTGAAACTACTTAGACAAGCAATAACTCAGCTCAAAGTTAATCAAATAATTTGAAACTTGACCAGTTTAGAAATGAACAACTTGAATTTTCGGACTCCAAATTTGAGCCCAGAAAAACGGTTTTCTCAAATGTTATGCTAGTACAAACTTGAGTCCTGATAATAATGTGCAACCGTACAAAGCTTAATCTCATTTAAAAGGGATCCCCTGAACTATGTACTGCATGAAACATAACATTTTTGAAAAATCTATGCACTAGAGTATTCCATGTAGCCCGTTCCACTTACCTGCAAAATAATAGAGTCATCATTCTGAAGACGGAACAAGTGTGTACGGCGCTCGACGAACTGACGACGCTTCAACGACGATGTGCCAACGTAGCGGAACAGCTCATCATCCCCACAATTCGACATTTGGGAGTGAAGGCTGAAACTCCTGAACGGGTGTCAATGGATGATGGTTGTCAACATATAGAGGCAGGGGGGGGGGGGGTGAGAAGATAGGCACAAGGAAAAAGAAAGCGTTGGGGTTAAGCATTTACCTGCTAAGTTGGATTTGTTGCAATCCGTGGCGTTGGAAGATAGCCAAGAGCACTGGAATAGCCTTCTGCTCAAGGGCTGGCGAGTAGGCGTCTTTAGAGTTTGGTGGAGTTGGATTTGCTGCCTCCAAATCGACTTCTTGAGCATTTGCGAACAACATCTCAGCGTCCTGTCCATATATTGGTTGGACGATGGTGGCTGTGTACTCGCTGGTCTCGTTTAGTGCGGCATGGAAGCTAAGGGTGAATCCGACGCGAAGAACTGAAGTCAAGTCATTGAGCATTTGATCGCAGAAATCTTTCAATTGGAATGAGATGACCATTTTGTCTTTGCAAGTGATAAGACCAGCTTTGGCGGAGAGCCAGGTGAGTTGTCCGAATCCTTGAATGCTATCGGCTCTTTGTGGATCTTGAAGGGGTGGTGGATGGACCTGGGTGGGAGGCATAAGAGGTGGTGGTGGGACCATTTGAAGATTGTGTGCATTTTGGTACAGGTTGTTCATTCCTCCATTCATTCCACCGTTCATCCCATTGTTCATTCCCAGTGGAGGCATGAATGGCACATTGTGTCCAAAGTTGTCGGGTCCTGGAATTTGAGAATCTTAGAATGCTAGAAGGAGAATCTCAGAACCTCAAATTTCCAGAAGTTATAGCAGTTTGGAAACTGTAATTTTTTCTTTTTTTTCAGTGTTTGTCCCTTTCAAAAAAATTTTCTGTATTAGTTTTGAATCAGGTGGTTTTGATAACAAAACACTGTTCTCTTATGACTCAAGTGTTTGAAAATATCATGCAGTTACGAAATTTCGAGTCTTACTGTAGAAAATTTAGTAATGAGCAATTTTTCAATATTCCCTGTTTCGAAACTTTGTATTAGGTCGTGAGAAATTGAATTTTCGATCTATCATTGGGGAGCCGAAAAAATTAGGATTACGCTTTAGTTCATAATGTCTTTCAAACTTCATCATTCTCAATGATTCTTATTGGAAACTGTTAGGTTTAAAAAGGGCTTTAAAACTGAATTGAATTTGTGTACCTAGGTTGAGAGAAACATTTAAATCTTCGAGGTCAAAAATGACTTCTACTGAAAGTTGGTAGTTATTTTGTGGGTCTCAAAAAGTTGTACATTTTCCGAGTTGGATAGTTCAAAAATATGAATTTCGAAGTGAGTTTTTGCTAATTCTATCTTGAAATGATAGCAGCAAAGAAATGAAAAAATATGAAAAACTATATGCCCAATACGAAACAGTGAAAAATGCCAAAAGATTAAGCTAGCCCAAAAGTAAGCTGATTGCCTTTATTCTTGTGATGCTTGAACTTTGAGCTCAAATATCTCAATTTCTGTAAGAGATATCTAAAATTTTCAAATTACAAAAATATTTATCATATTATCACCAAGTTTTTAACAGTTAACAGATTTTTGATATCTCATATAGGAACCGAGATAATTGAGCTCAAAGTTGAATTACACTAAGCCTGAACTTTGACCCAATTTATGTCGGCTGCTGACAATGATATAAAAAAATGGTCGACAAACAAAATGTTTATCGTAATACGAATAATGTTTTGTTAGTTTGTCATTTTTCAATAGCTATGCCGGGAATCGAGATACGTGCCCAATCAAATGGGTCCCATTCTTACCTCCCATTGGCGGAAATGTCTGAAGCGACCAAATCGACTGTGGACCATTCTGGCCTTGTTGTCCGTTTGGCGGTCCACCCGGCGGTCCCTGGCTGTTGAGCGGTGGTTGGCTCGACGAGAACAGACTATTCATATCGTAAGCCATAAGCTCTCTGTGTCTCTCTCCCTCTCACACTCTCTCGCTCGAGACACGAATCAAATCGATCGGCGATGATGGAAGACGCTGATGGATTCGATGGTTTTCGTTTGGGATCCTCGTGAGAAGTCTGAAAGATTAATAAGAGATGAGGAATCCCAAAAAGAAGTTTTAGGTGCTAGAAAAACAAGAATAGAACTAGATAGGGCTGGGACAAAAAGGCGAAAATATGAAGAGAAAGGCGAAAAAGTATGTGAAAAGAAACAACACGGTCGGCGTAGCGGGAAGAGAGGGGTGGTTGGGAGGCCGTCGTCGCCGGGACGAGATAGAGGTATCGATGAGAGAGTGTGGCGAGTCAAGAGAGCGGGTTAGAGAAACACACGCGTCTTGATGCGCGCTCACAGCTACACTCACGCGCTCACCAACGCTCACGGGCGGTCCGGCCCCGGCCAAAAAGACAACGCCGCACTCATACACTTGTGTGCGCGCGCGGGGGGTCTCCTCTTCTCGCTATGTATACTCATGTCGGAGGGGCCCCGGGAACATCTGCGTCTCTTCTATCTCTCCGAATGTCTATCTCTCAATCTACCCAATTTCTGGTCTCTAATTCGCGTCTTCTTCTTCTATCGTCCGCCGGTTGAGCAGCAGCCAGCGGGGGGAAGAGAGAGAGAGGAAAGCAACGCAACATACACAACCACACATACACAACCCACTCAGAACGGGGCGTTGCGTTTTTAAAAAGAGTGAGAGAAAAAGATGGGGTGAAGGAAAAGTTTTTGGGGATGCGAGATTTTTTTGGGGAGTGAGAATTGATACTAACCGATAGCGTTTGGATGAAGCTGGAGGGATTCTAGGTTGATAGGGGACCTTATTTTTCCATAAGGGTCTGAAAATGCGCTTCATTGAGAAAAAAGTTTGGCTTAGCGTTTTAAACCATTTTCCGAATTCCAACGATTTTGATAGGACTTACAATTATCTTGTTGAAATTGAAAACAAATGGTAAGTGTCAAAGTTACCGTATCTTTGAAACAGCGAGATTTATATCGAGAATATTTTTAAATTGTTTCCTCAGTGCCACTAACAATTTTCAGAAGTGCCTAAAAAGTTTAGTATCAAAATAAAACGGTAATTCATATTACTCAGGAAGTGCGCTCTATTAACATTTTTAGAATATCAGTAGACTTGGAAATCTTTACAGATCAATGAAGGCTAGTCAGTAAACAAAAACTGCAAGTCTTCAATTATACTAGAATCTTGAAACAGTGAAAAATTCAAATTTCTGTTTCTTATCGTTATGAAACTTTTAGATATGTTGCTATTATTCATCGGTTGCCTAACAAGAAATCCTAGATTAATCTAGATTTTTGAACACCTACTTTTTGAGAATCGGTGCTTCAGATTTTGGATATGTCTGGGGTAGATTGATAAAAGTTATTAACACATTTCCGTAACAACGTTCTGATTATAGTCATTTTAGGATGAATAGATTGGTGGTCTAGCCTACCGGTCATGAAGTTATTTAGGCCACGAAGCTTTCTGCAGGACAAATGGCCTGAAATGCCTTTGCTATCTCTACATTTCGAAACAGTTCTCTTTCCATTTTAGAGTGACATATTTGATAACGAACTGACTGACCTAGTAAAAGTGTCTGTATGTTCTAGAAGAAATGAACAATTGATAAGAAACGGGGGGCTTTTCGGAAAAGAAGTTGCAATGTGAGTAGGACATTTCAATCGATACGTTTCAGGAGATGGGAAAATCGGAGTGATAACGCTAATTCATCAATGCAAGTTGAAATTGAACTTTTGTAAAACCTGTAATAGAAGGGCCCCCACACTGTTAAAATTGAGCTGAATGTTCATCAGAGGTAGTTTAATTGTTCTCTTATCATGATGGTTTTGAAGCAGGTAAAATACAACAATTTCCTATGTGTAATGTTATCAGGAAACCATAATACAGTATTCTCATTATTACAAAATAATAAATATAGACAAAAATTATGAGAATCTGTGATTCAAATTGATACTCCTCTTGAATCTCCTCAAAATTTTTTCCCTTCGTCTCCGGTAGTATTCAGAAATCTTGGAATTTTTTTTACTTTAGGTAACTTTCAAACTTTTTAGATAAATTTGTTTTGTGAAAAATAAACAGCAAATTTCGATTTTCAGGAATTTCTGGATTTAAAGGAGGCGAGACAGCAAAAATTTCGGGGGACAGTTTGGGGGACGAAATCGCGTATGTAGACCATCGGTCGTCAGGCGCCTTCGCGCCCCCGTAGCTCAGCCGGTAGCAGCGCTGTACCCCTGAGCTGCCTGTCATGAGTTCAACCCCTCATGGGAGTTCTCTATGCAAAATATCAGGAAAACTTTTTTTTGGTGTCTGGCCTCCTTTAAAATAATTTATAACTTGCAAGAATGTTGGGAAGATAAAATGTAACTTTCAAAACATTTGTGCAATAAAAGGATTTTAGGAAACGTTCAATTTGAAATTTTGATATTTTGCAGAATTTCAAGCAACCTAAATATATTTACAAATCGATTCTAACTTAGGAGTAGCTAGAAAATTGCATTTTAGATACATCTCGCTCAGTAGTGTGTAAAGCATTTGGTGTGAAACTCGAAAAAGTTCGGAAACAGTAATAATTCTGAAGTTTTGTTGTTCTGAAATTATAAGATTCTGTAACGTTTCTGACGACCGATGGTCTACATACGCGATTTCGTCCCCCGAACTGTCCCCCGAAATTTTTGCTGTCTCGCCTCCTTTAAATCCAGAAATTCCTGAAAATCGAAATTTGCTGTTTATTTTTCACAAAACAAATTTATCTAAAAGTTTGAAAGTTACACTAAAGTGAAAAAAATTCCAAGATTTCTGAATACTACCGGAGACGAAGGGAAAAAATTTGGAGGAGATTCAAGAGGAGTATCAGAGAAGGAGGAGTATCAATTTGAATCACAGATTCTCATAATTTTTGTCTATATTTATTATTTTGTAATAATGAGAATACTGTATTATGGTTTCCTGATAACATTACACATAGGAAATTGTTGTATTTTACCTGCTTCAAAACCATCATGATAAGAGAACAATTAAACTACCTCTGATGAACATTCAGCTCAATTTTAACAGTGTGGGGGCCCTTCTATTACAGGTTTTACAAAAGTTCAATTTCAACTTGCATTGATGAATTAGCGTTATCACTCCGATTTTCCCATCTCCTGAAACGTATCGATTGAAATGTCCTAAATATGCTTCGTTAGATTGTTTGATTTTTTTCTTCAGCCAAATTTGAATTTGATACGCGACCTAAAGATTCTACTTTCTTCAATGAAAACTTTAAAAATGCTATCACATTTACTGAAAGAATTAAGAACTTCCAAACTAAACGAATAACTATTGATTTGTTTATTAGTTCAAGGTTAGTTTGTTGTTCTTTCTTGGCAACACATTTTCATTCCAGGTCGGATGTTTTTTTCTTCGACAACAGCCTGAAGGATATTTTTTTGACAATATCGCTACGCCCAGCAGAAAAGGTTTACCTTCTCGATTTTTAAATAATTTTTCCATGAGCTCGTTTTCAGATGATTGTATATAATACCTTCATATCCAATGAGGACCAAGGATTCTGGGACACCCAAGATATCCGTTTCGTACCATTAAAAGAAGCCAGTAAGATTGAAATGGAAATAAAAGTCGATGAATCAGCATTTGAAGTAAGTTAAAAATCAAACTCTCTTCTCGAGAATAGTTTTCCAGATACTTATAAATCAGAAGTACATCATGTATTTCTCTCACCGTATCGTCCCATCATAAGAAGCTTGGATTATTGTTTCAGGAAAATCGGAAATTTTATATTTCTTGACGAAAATGACTACGACGAACAATCAGATGATTTAGAATCTGATAATGAGCCATTTGAGAATGTCTTGGAATGAATAATTTTAATTAATTTAATTGATAAAACATAGAAAAAACTTTTTAATAATACATTCTAATAAAAAGTTAGCTCTTCTGTTCACAATTTGATGAAATTTGAGAATACCACACTTTGCTTTGGGACCTCTAATTTTTTGGGACCTCTAATTTTTTTTGGGACTTCTAATTTTTTGGGACCTCTAATTTTTTTTGGGACCTCTAATTTTTTGGGACCTCTAATTTTTTGGGACCTCTTTTTTTTTTGGGACCTCTATTTTTTTTTGGGACCGCTATTTTTTTTTTTGGGACCTCTAATTTTTTTGTGACCTCTAAACTAGAATAGAGTCAAAATTTTTTGATCGAAAAAAAGGTCCCCCCTTATGTGTTTTTTGAAGTTTTCAAAACTTGTGAGATGACGAGCCCGCCGGGCCAGCCGGGCCTGTTACAAGTATGATTTTTAGAAAAAAATCTTTTTTTTTTCTAAAAATAGTACCGAAAAGTTATAAAATCTTCGAGAAAGCAAAACTAAAGAAACTGAACAATTTGCAGTTTCATTGCGTTGATTCATACCAAAGCGGAGTAATTTACAGTTTTTGACTTTCCCCAGGGTATTCAAGAAGAACCAATCTTCTCGCCACACATTTTTTGATGAAAAACGCTTCTGTCATTGATCTCAAACAGAAAATAAAAGCGATGACGGACCATTGAATCTTCAAATGAGCAATAATAGCGTCACCTGGATCGTTAGAGTGTTCCGAACTGTTTGACGACGGAAAATTAAAAAATCCCAATGTTTAGTGTATCATTGTCAATTGAGAAGTAATTCTGCTAGACGAGCAAAAATTTTAAACAATTTCAGTTTCAGTATATTTCTAAATTTCTCTTAATTTTTTCAAAGTCGTTTTTAAAAAGTTTGACGGTATTTTTTCCCATATTAGGTTGGAAAGAAAGTAACTGTCCATTTTTGAATTAGTAAATAAAACAAAAACAAGATTATTCCAAGATTGTCAGTACGTACCGTCGTGGTCCACAACATGTCGTCAACTTTTAGGCAACTTGTGGATATCATCCCTCCAACCGCCAGCTGGCTGCGAATGAAACTATTACTTTGGTACATTTTTTTCTCACCGATTTTGTCAAAGTCCTTAGGCTCCAGATGACGTTGTATCTCTCCGAAAAACCAATAATCTGATACAACAAAATCAGAACTTTCACGGGGGTAAAGGAGAACCGTCTAGCCAAAGCGGCTCAGGTACGGCGTGACTTTCCGTGCAACATGAGATTTTGCATTTTTTAACGAAAGGCAAGTCAGACTTGAGCAGCTTCAGCGGGGCGGTTCTTCCTCATTTATTTATAGTCCCGACTCAGTTCTATCAGATTATTGATTATTCGGAGATGTACAACGCCATCTGGAGGGTGACGGATTTTGCACCATTTATGAGAAAAAACTGGAAAAAATAGATATTCTGATTCGCGGCTAGCTAGCTTTTGGAGGTATGGTATCCAAAAGTTACCTGAATGTTGGCAACATGTTGTGGACCACGACGGTGCAAACTGCTAATCTTGGCTTAGCCCGGTTTTTGTATTATTCACAGATGAAACAAGGGACAGTTACTTTCCTGCCAACCTAATATTTTAGTGTTTTGATATCATCCGAAGAGTGAGAACTCATAGGTAATACCATAACCACATATTTCTTCGTCGCTTAGACTTTGAAAAAAAGTTCCAGTTTCTCCTTTATCTTGAATTTCGTTCTAGTTTTTCAGAATTATTTTTCTCAGCAGACGATTGATTTTTCAAATGAGCAATGATAGCGTCATCCGGATCGTTGGAGTGTTTAGAAGCGTTTAGGAACTGAAATTTCTATAATAAAAATAATCTTGAGACTGATACGCCTGGTTACCTTTATAAATGACCCTTGTGCTGGATTAGTAATGAGCAATTGAAATCCAAAGCTAAAAGAGCTGCCAAGTGCCACTATTGATGCCATAAATGTGGTCCGTAATGGAGGCCATTTTCCTTTTTTCAAAGCATTTGTAGTAAAAGGTATTGAAGCGGAAGTTACGATTCCCGATGATGAAATTCTGAAAATATTGGGTATTGAGAAGACTCAAGAAGTATACTACAACCTTTAGATTTAGATTTAGATTAGATTTATTTATTTTCAGAGCGGTGACCAACAGTACACCTTGACACAGCGAACTGAGAAAAATAACAAGATATTCAAAAAGTTGGAGAAACAGTATAATTGAGTTTTTATAAGAATTTTAGGCTCTCGAATTTTTGAAATTTCAACTTATTTTAGGAAAAGTTTTCATATAAAAATACTCTTGAATTTTTAAAAAAATTAGTAAACAGTTTCAAACACACAATCTCGATTTTTAAGGATTTCAGGGTTTTAGAGACTTTTACGTTTACAAGAATCTTTGGATGATCTAATTTTCGAAATTTTAGTGAAAATAAGAATTTCAGAAATCGCCGAATTTTAGTATTTTTTCCGAACTTCCAGCTTTATAATCTTTAATTGTTTTCAATCTGGGAATAGCTGGAAAATTTATTATGAAGGAGTCTCAATTATTAGAGTGTAAAGAAAGTTGGTATGAAACTTGAAAAAGTTAGAAAACAATAATAATTCCGAGAGTTTGAGATTCTGAAGCATTCCAAATTTTTAAGTGAATCGAGTTCTCGAGTTTTGTAAAATTAAAAAAATTATCTGTTTCAGCGCCCCGATAAATTTGTTATCCGTTTTTTTGAAGTAATAAGATCATACCAAAATTTCATTAAATATTCATTTTCACACAAATTAAAATAAATAACAAAACTAGTATTATTGTAGCAGTGCTTTTCTCTCATACTCCTCTCGAATCTCCTCAACATTTCTTCCCTTTGTCTCCGGTAGTAAAAAGTACAGTACGACAACAGCAACAATCTGTAGATTTTCAAATTTTTGGGTTACTGTAATAGGGTAGTTACCATAGGGATAATGAAAAAAATCGCATAGGCGACTGGTTCAGATGTCAAGTTCTTGACGGGAAGGTAGGAAGTCAGGGTTAGGAAACGGCTGAAGGAACATTTTTATCTTGAGCTGAAGTATCTTGGTTCCTATAAGAAATATCAGAAAGTTGTCAACAGGTAAAATGTTGGTGATATAATGATAAGCATTTTTGAGTTGACCACTTTCTTATATCTTTTACAGAACTTGAGAAAATAGCGGTTTACTGACACTGCCGCCATAACGGCGTTGGTCCATACAGAAGATGCGGATCTGCAGGTTTGTGGTACCAACTCTCCGGTTATAAACATGGAAATTGGTCCGGGTCCCATTGCGAAAAGGAAATTGAACATACAAATGGAGGAGATCAAAAGATAGGAGACGATTTGGTTCTGGAAGATATTTTTGGTTTGGATTAAGTCCCTGCTTCAAATCGGTTCAAAGATAACTGCTGAAAAGATTATGGATATTTTGAAACCGGAATTTCCGGAAAGTTTTGATTTCAAATTTGCCGAGAGCGTTATAGTTTCGGTCATTTTCAGTGATTTAATCCCTACTCACCTGTGTCTCAGAATACGCCCACATCAAACTAATAATGGCCACATTGACAATTGTCAAAAATCCAAAAGTCGTAATAATCAGCGGTCGTCTCCCAAAATGATCAATAATCCACGTGGAAACCATAATTCCAGCCAACGAGAAGACACAAATGAATGCGTTCGCGAAAGCAGCAGTGTCCTGATCCATACCAACATCCATCAAAATCTCAAAAGCGAATGCATTAATTACAGTAATCCCCGACATTGCCATCGCTACAGTAACCATCATTCCGAGAAGGGTCCCACGACGATTGAACGGCGATCTCCAGACGGAGAAAATTGTTTCTTGGCTTCGAGATATTTGATGGGTGGATATCAGAGTCTCAGCTATTCTCTCAGCGTCCTCGTAGGGAATCTCATGGTAGAATTTAACGGATTCTGTGACTTTTGACTTGAAGATATCGTGATGTTTGACTTCTTGAGAAGCTAAGTAGCTTGGGCTTTCATGGACCACTGGTAGAATACATAGGACTACTGTATTGATGGTTAGTTGGAAGAGGTAGAGGGTCCACCAGAGATCTTCAGTTCCTAGAAGCTTTGGCATTGCAAGGACCGCTCCAATGGTTAGGGAGGATTGGAGGCAGACTCCGTTGAGTAGAGAAGCGATGCCACGGCAGTGGGCGGGGCTGAAATTTGAAGTTGTTGTTTCGGCCGCTAGGAAAATATATGTTTTGCAAGTCTGGCGAAAAAATCACACTAATTTTGGTATTTTCAGTTAAAAGTTGTCAATTACGACGTTCTACAAAACTAGTATTGAAGTTTTCATATTGTTTGAAATATTCAGAATACACTAAGCAATATGAGGACTTTATTTTTGTAGTTGATAACTTCTTGTACAAATTCATCCTAAGAGACATGCCAATCGGCACTGAAATAAGAGTTGTGCATATTTGAAACCGCTTATCTCGCTTTGCTGGACGTGTACAAAAAAGTTGACAACTACAAATTTGAAGCGCTTCTTTTGTTTAGTTAACTCTGAAATTTTCAGAAAAATCGAAAAATTCTGGACCACTATTTTAGAGCTACAAATTTGAAAAGAAACCAAAAATTTCTTCACATCTCCAACATTCATTAAAGGAGGGCAGACAGCAAAAATTTCGGGGAAAATTTCAGGGAATGTGTATTTTGCCGTCGCGGTGTTATCACCTAAAGCGCGCAATCCCACGCGCAAACATTTTTATTTTTTTATTTCCCGACTTTATTTTTTTCAATTTTTAACGACTTCAAACATTAAAAAAGCTCTTTTTTCTCATTTATTATAAAACCCATATAAAAGTGAATTTTTTAATGTAAATTTAAAGTTCTATCGACCGATTATTTTTCCAGTCGCCGGTGTTTTTTATAGGCATGCGAAAAAAACTATTTTCTCTTCGATAACCGTTTCTTCACTGTTCCTATTTATCTCATTACTTCTCGTTATTACTCTAGGAATAAAAAACTGTTTTATGACTAGGGTTTTCAGAGACGTCTCCATTTTTACTGCTTCCTTCACCTTCCGACGACCAGCCCTGCACGAGGATTGTTTTAATTATGTGGTTTTTCTTTCAATTGTCATGTCTCTTTCTAAAAATTAATTGTAGTTTTTTTCATAATTTATTTGTTAACATAATAAAACACGTTTCTTCATTTTCAACTGATTTTGGTACCTCGGAGCGAGGCCTCGGCGGCACGCTGGTAGCCCTTCAGAAATTCCGAGTTCAAAAAGTTCAATCCGAAGGAAACAAGGGAAGAAAAAAGTAAAAACACCAGCAGGGATTGAACCTCTGACCTCCTGAATACTAGCCTAGAGCGTACCCACTACACTACGCGTGTAAGAGGCGACCATCGCGTTTTTCACATTATGAAGCGACGTCGCAGCAGCAAGCTAGTGAAGAAATTAGGGTGACAAAAAAGAGCATTTTTTCGTCTTTGAAGTGTTTTTTTCAGGTTTTTAAGTACATAGCTATATTTATACTTCAGAGTTAAATCTTTTGAGTAAAAATGAAAATTTTGAAATTTTTGATGTCTACCCTCCTTTAAGTTTTTGAAACATCATTTGTTTTATTCAAAATGTCCACTAAACTTTTTTCCTACCCTTGGAATGACTCCCAAGGGTTACCCTCCAAAAAATCAGACCTATATGGTTGGATAGAGGCGAGAAAAGTATTTTAGATTCCAAATGAATAGTTGGTAAAAATTTTTTTTTGGAAGTTATGGTCCAAAAAGTACCAAAAAATGTCTAAATTTTCAAAAAATCATAACTTTGTCAGTTTATATCCGTTTGTTGAAATTTGAAAAACAGTAAATAGACAATTAATTGAACACTTGAGAATTAACATTTTTAATTTTTTTCCTATTGATTGGATTATTGATTTTTTGAAAAAATCAAAAAAAAATTCAATATCTCAAAAATCCTAGGTTAACTTATTTTTGCATTATGACCATTGAATTTAACACATTTGATTTACTATAGAAACATATCAATACCACGGGGGAAATCATGCTCACACAAGTTATGCCGAAAAATATCGATTTTTGGCACTTGGCTTCTTTGAATTCGTTGTCCTCGGCGGCCGGTATGGTGAGGGGCATACTTGTTTTTGTGATTTTTACTTGCGTAAGGTTTGCCTAAAGTGTTTGAAATAGAATCCTGCGACATACAAAGTCAAATTTTCAAATACCATTTCTTAAAATCATCATCTTGAAAAAATCAAAATTTTGACAGGGCACATCTATAGTTAAACTTGATAGAAACTGCCAAACTTATTTTTTAACATAATCAGAAGAACATAATCTTATCAACGGCTTGAACAGAATTTTGATTTAGGCCCTAGAATCAAAAATATTTACGATTTTCCGAGCCTGACCCCTATTTTTGGTGAAGTGTGACATGTGATAGGGCACATCTATAGGTAAACTTGATGGAAATAGCCAGACTCTTGTTTAAACATGATTAAAATGACAAACTCTTATAAACGGCTTGAACAGAATTTTTAATTAGGCCCTAAAAATAAAAATATTCACTGATGATGGGACACCTTTTGTTTTTCATCATAACTTGAGAACGAAAAAAAATATCAAAAAAACTGTTAACGCCATTCGATTTAAAATTAAAAAATACTATTAGACAAATGTTATTGGTTTGTTTCGTATCGTGAAAATAGATGGAAAAAGGTCGATTTCGGCTGTCCGAAGCTGGAAGGATATCTTTCGGAAATCGTTCATTTAACCTACTTTCACTAGACGAACCAATCTGATTTTATTTTTTTAATAGTGATTTTTAAATTTAAATCGAATGGCGTTAACAGTTTTTCGATAATTTTTTTCGTTCTCGAGTTATGATGAAAAACAAAAGGTGTCCCATCATCAGTGAATTTTTTTGCATTTCTAGGGCCTAATTCATTTCTAGGGCCTAATTCAAAATTTTGTTCAAGCCGTTGATAAGATTTTGTCAAATTAGTCATGTTTTAACAAGAGTTTGGCTGTTTTCATCAAGTCGTTGATAAGATTACATTCTTCTGATTATGTTTAAAAAATAGTCTAGCCGTTTCTATCAAGTTTAACTATAGATGTGCCCTGTCACATGTCAAAATTTTGCTTTTTTCAAGATGATGATTTTAAGAAATGGTATTTGAAAATTTGACTTTGTATGTCGCAGGATTCTATTTCAAACACTTTAGGCAAACCTTACGCAAGTAAAAATCACAAAAACAAGTATGCCCCTCACCATACCGGCCGCCGAGGACAACGAATTCAAAGAAGCCAAGTGCCAAAAATCGATATTTTTCGGCATAACTTGTGTGAGCATGATTTCCCCCGTGGTATTGATATGTTTCTATAGTAAATCAAATGTGTTGAATTCAATGGTCATAATGAAAAAAAAGTTAACCTAGGATTTTTGAGATATTGAAAATTTTTTTGATTTTTTCAAAAAATCAATAATCCAATCAATAGGAAAAAAATTAAAAATGTTAATTATCAAGTGTTCAATTAATTGTCTATCTACTGTTTTTCAAATTTCAACAAACGGATATAAACTGACAAAGTTATGATTTTTTGAAAATTTAGACATTTTTTGGTACTTTTTGGACCATAACTCCCAAACAAAAAATGTTTACCAACTATTCCATTTGGAATCTAAAATAACTTTTTACGCTCTATCCAACCATATAGGTTTCAATTTTTTTCGAGGATAACACTTGGGAGTCATTCCATGTAAATATTTCTTTTTTCACTAAATATTTCTGAAAATCTCACCTGGATTCCGTCACAAACATTGCTGCTATACCCATAGCAACGGCAATTCCCATACCCATTGTAAACCGAGCAAATGCGAATAAATAGTGATTTACTATCTGAAAATGTCTGAAAATTTCAGAATTTTCTCAAAAACCCTAACCTACCCAGTAGCTGGTTATTGCTAGAAGAGAAGAGGTGATTTGGGTGACGATCGCTAACATGATTCCCTTTTTTCGACCAAATCTAAAGAAAGTCTGAGTTAACGGAGATTTTGATTTTTGGAAAAATATCAGAACATCGTGTAACTGGAATTTCTTGGAAATTTATTTTGAATCAGCAAGCGGGTGCGCCTTCGACGCGATTAAATTTAGTTTATTACTAGTTCGTCGTTGTTTTTCTTGAAGAGTTACGTAAATATAAAATTATTTCTTAACTTTTTCAAAAGCGGCTGACATCAGGACAGATAGACGCGTGTAGCTTGTTATATATAAGGAAGATTTAAAATAAATCAAAAGGAACAATTCTCTCGAAGACTTCAAACTTCAAATACTACCGAAAAAGAAGAATCTGGTTGTGAGAACCTGAATATCAGAATTTCGAGGTATCAGAATTTTAACAAGGAATTTTTTCACAGTACTGAAAAACAAACTTTCCAGTTTCATATAGATTTCAAACTACTGCAATTTTTGTTTCCTACGGTTTAGGACGTTCTCCTGGAAAAAAAAACCAACCTCTCCGCCACAGTTTTGATGAAAAACGCTCCTGTCATTGAACCCAAAAAGAAAATGGCAACGATGACGGACCACTGATTTTCCAAATGAGCAATCCTAGCGTCGTCCGGATCGTTGGAGTGTTTGGAAGCGTTCAGGAACTGAAATATTTATGATAAAAATAATCTTGAGACTGATACGCCTGGTTACCTTTATAAATGACCCTTGTGCTGGATTAGTGATGAGCAATTGAAATCCAAAGCTAAAAGAGCTGCCAAGTGCCACTATTGATGCCATAAATGTGGTCCGTAGGGGTGGCCATTTTCCTTTTTTCGAAGCATTTGTGGTGGAGACTGTTGAAGCGGAAGTTACAATTCCTGATGACGACATTCTGAAATAATTGGAAATTGATAAAGTTTGGGTTATCTATAGTTAGCGAATCAAGAAAAAAAACAGAATGTTCATGAAACTGAAGAAACAGTAAAATTAGGTTTTTTTTCAGAATTTTGGGCTTTCGGATTGTTTGAATTTGTTTAATTAAATTTATTTTAGGAACAGTTTTTCAGATTAAAACAATCCTAGACCTTTGAAAAATACAAAAAAAATTTTCAAAGTTTGAAAATTTCGGGAATTCGTTTGGTAAAAGGCGTATCTGAACAGTAAAGAAGTTGCCATTGAAATTCAAGTATATTGAAAAACAGCAAAATTAGTTTTGTTTTTTTTAAGTTTTCAAATTTCTGAGAAATTCCAAAACTATATTGAATTGCTTGGTTCTTTCTGATTATCGGAAGTATTTTCAGATTTTCAGAGTTTTCAAAATCGTTGGAGATTATTTCCAGGAAAATTTTTGAAGTTCCTTGAATCTTGAGAGTCTCCAATACCAAAATGTTTTCAGAATTTCGAATATCAAAACTGACAATCAACACTTTAAAAATCTATGTCACAGATTATAACTTGCTTTGAAAACCGTAATTTTTTTAATCAGAGAAAATATTATAAATAAATAATCATATAGTTTTCAGGATTTCCATAAAAAACCTTTTCAAAAAAGTTTTCAAGAACAACAATCCCAAAATAATAAATTACCATTTCACATTCAATTTGAAAATTTTGAGTTTCTATAAACAATAATCATGTAACTAAAAGATTTTTTCCAAGATTTTCGTAACCACATAACCAAAAAAAAACAACTTTTCAGGAACAAAAATTCAACAGTAAGTTTTAAGAGAGGGTGTCAGTTGTGTCAAGAGAATATGTTGCCCTCCCCTATGAATTATTCATAGGAGAGTCTATGAGTTGAAAAATAAAAGAGAGAGAGAGAGTTGTTGCCACTGAGGAAGGAGGCCTCTGTTTTGTAGAGAAAAGGAGATTATGAGAGAATCAGAGAAAATATTGAAATAAATAGAAGGGTGTGAGGTTTGGTACCTAAAAGGATGGCTGAGAAAATAGGTTTAATTAGGTACACATATGGAGTCATATTTCCAGCATTTTTAATTGTGACAGAAAAATTCAAAAAATGACACCAAACTTTAACTCAATTTATCTAGCTTACTGTAAAATATATCAATTAATAAAATGTTAAACATAAAATATCAACCATTTTATCAGTGGGTTACTTTCCAATATCTACAGTACTCCACAAAAGTTTAATTCCACCCTCAGTTTGTACTGAAACACCTATTTAGGTCAATATTCGTGAAAAGGTGTCAACATGAAAAATAAAGGTCTCCCTTCAAAACCTACGTACGAAAAACTTGGAGCCATCAACGTGATCCGGAAACGAGAAACCGGAAAAATTCCGAAAATCACGTTTTGGCCGATCCACAAAAGTTTAATTCCACTCTGAAAAAGTGAGATTCTGGAGGTTTTTGAACTCTGCGGCCACTTTTTGAAAGCCTGAATTTGAAAAATATCTGGATTCCGGATTCCGGAATCAGGATTTCCGGATTCAAACTTCCTGATTCCGGTTACGAAAGCTTCTGAGGTTCTGAGGGATTCTGAAGGGACCTGGAATTCTGGGAGATTCTCCAGGATCATGAGAAACGGCCCAGTAGATTGCGTACTAACTACTCCGAAAGCAAAAAATAAGATTCTCGTGAAGAAGTTTCACAGATGAAGGCGTGATGGCCAGGACGACAATCTCGTCGGCAGGTCCAATCAAACAGTTTTTTGTTTCGAAGAAGATGAACGGATCCGACTATCAACTCATCGTCTCGGAATTTCGCCTTTTTGGAGTAGAAACATGAATTGGAATATCGTCTTCATGCACGTCGATGTTTTGTGAGGTCGTGGTAGTTAGAACGCAATCTACTGGGCCGTTTCTCGTGATCCTGGAAAATCTCCCAGAATTCCAGGTCCCTTCAGAATCCCTCAGAACATCAGAAGCTTTCTTAGCCTTCCAGAAACATTCTGAAACGCTTATTTGTCAAGAAAACCTGAAATTCAGGTTCTCGGGACATTTTAACTCATTCAAAAAGCTAATCCGGAAACCGGAATCCATCATCCGGAATCCGGAACGCAGAATCCGGAGTACATATTCTAAATCCACTACACACAATTCAATAACCATAATCCAGAACCCAAAAAAACCGAAATCCGGAATTTTGAATCCGGAAATCCTGATTCCGGAATCCGGAAATCCGGATATCTAACATCCGGAATTTGGATATCAGTAACCGTGTATAATGGTCTCTGTGTATGGGGGTCAGAATCTTAAAACTCCTCAAATTCAGGCCTTCAAAAAGTGGCCGCAGAGTTCAAAAACCTCCAAAATCTCACTTTTTCAGAGTGGAATTAAACTTTTGTGGATCGGCCAAAACGTGATTTTTTGGAATTTTTCCGGTTTCTCGTTTCCGGATCACGTTGATGGCTCCAAGTTTTTCGTACGTAGGTTTTGAAGGGAGACCTTTATTTTTCATGTTGACACCTTTTCACGAATATTGACCTAAATAGGTGTTTCAGTACAAACTGAGGGTGGAATTAAACTTTTGTGGAGTACTGTACTACGGGAATGGAGGTAATTCAGCTTAAAATACGGTATATATAGTAGAAAGGCCCCCTATGTTTGTCTCTATATATCTCAGTTCCTGTGAAAGATTACAAAAAGTGGTCAACTGGCAAAATATTAATCAAAATACAACATTGATTTTATTAATTGACCACTTTTTGATGTGTTACACAGAAAACGAGATAAATTGCGTCAAAGTTGGGGGTTAGCAAAATCCAGTTGGGCACATTCAAAAATTAAAGCTTGAAAGAAAAAATTAAAAATTTTTGGTAGCAAACGGGAATTATTCTTTTTTCTTCGTTTTTTTTTAAAGTTGTTTTCTTGGCTGATAATATTTCATTACAAAAATTAGCATAGAAAATGCAGAGTTTGAAACTGGAAACTTTTTTGAAACGTTTGAAAATATTTCACGGTTTCAAAATTGTAGTTTTTCAGAAGTTTTTTTTGCAAAATAATGATTGAGAAAAATTTTTCAAGGAATAAAGATTTCGAAAAAAATTTGCTCATGAATTGTGAAGAAATACACTGAAAATTCAACATGAAATTCTGAAATTCCGATTTTCAGAAGCTTTTTTCACTTTTTAAAGCTGAATTTCTAGAAGTTTTTTTAGTTCTAAAAACTTTGAAAAAATTGTGTTTCAAAGTCTGGATATATTTTTCTCATAAAATTTGTTTCCACTCCATTCATCGCTCCGATACGTACAAAAAGAATGAACTGAAATACCTGTCTGCAAGTTACAGACAAAGCAAAACAGCGAAAATTGAAAAAAAATCCAAGTACAAAGAATTTCAGAGAAAAAAACAACAAAGAACAGAGGAAAAAGAAATAGGAAAAGAAAAAGAAATGAGAGAGCATCTGGCACAAAAAGAAAAAAAGAGAGAAAAAATGTGCCAAAGTGCAGAGAGGGAGACAAGTATCACATGCATTTATTTTCCAGCGGAATTGAGAGAAATGAGAAATAGGCGGAGAAAATGCGATGGAAGAGGAATTTCCGTGGCTGGTGGCCGAATTTTTTCTCCTTTTTCAGTGAAATGCAACACTTTTTTAGAAAGGCTTTAAGTGATTTTGGCTATGAAATCTCTCAAAAACCTTTCAGTAATATATAGATTACAGGATATGACCAAAAAATCCCGTTTTCAAATATCGGAAGAAAAAAACCCGGGAATCAAGAAGGAGAAGAAGATCGAGAGTTTCAGGAATTAATGTGAATTTCTGGACGTTTTCAAACTCGAAAATAAGTTTTAAAAATCTTGCAAAACTTTATGTTTCATGAAGTTTTCAATTTTCAGAAGAATAGTTAAAAGTTGCTTAGTAGGTCGATCGTGACACAATAATAATAATAATAATAATAATTTATTGATTCAGGACTATCAGTCACTTATAAAATCAAAGTGTTACAAATTAAACAAATGAGTTAGAAATTATATTCGTCTTCCCGTAAAGTTGGCCTTTTTTTATATGAATGCTTGAACAAAATTGAAAAAAGTTTTATTTCGAGAAAAATCGGTCATTCATAATTAAAAGTCACCCGTAACAACATTTCAAAATTCATCAAATAATAAGATTCCGCTAAACCGGAAATCCTCGTCGAAATTTGTCATGCTAAACGCACAGAAAAATGTTATACAGAAAAAATTTCAAATCCAAAATTAAGCGAACGTCTTCTCCTCCTGGAACTTTTCATCTTTTTCCTCCTCCAACGGCTCAATTGGCGCGGCTACCGTATTATTATGTGTCCTGCACAGAACTGCAAACATTGCTGCAATTCCAGCCAAAAGGAAAACGATGAGAATGAGAATCCAGCTTCGGACAGTGAGGTATGGCGAGATGAAGAGGATTACACAGGAAGCGACGCACTGGAAAATGGGATTTTAAAGGGAGGTACAGTAATCTGGATTTTTAATTCTTCTGCTGGAGATTTATCGATTATCAGATTAAGGTCTCAACTGGAAATATATGACTTTGTTGAAGCAGAAAATTTTTTTTAATCCGAAAAGAGGGACCAACCTGATAAATACGTGTCAAGCTGAAAATTTCAGCTCGGTAGTCTGGAACAGCAATCTGGCAAATGACAGATCTTGTCATGGTGATTGTGAAGTCGGCAAAGCCAAGAAGGAACCCGATTAGGATTGATAGGTAGCGGCTGAAAAGTTTAAGATGGAATTTTGGCATCATACTGTCAGTTTTTGTTGAAGGAGTTGAACTTTCCGCACCGCTATCAACTGATAGAAGCCCGCCCTATACATAGAAGCCCACCCTACACACTTACACTTCGAGCTCAATTATTTCGGTTTATGTAAGAGTCATCAAACATCTGTCAACTGAAAGAATATTGGTGATATTATGATAACTAATTTATCAGTACACATTTTTTGACATCTTTTACAGCAAATGAGCTATGAGAGCTGAAAGTTTATAGCTAAAGTATGCTTATATTTCAGCACATAAAGAAAGCGGATCAATGGATTTGATCCACCATGTAACTCATATCGATTCAGTGAAACCGTATTTTTCTAGTTTATTTTTTTCATTTTTTAACATTTTTTCTAGAGTTCGTGTATTAATAATGATGCAATAGAGCTTTTTCTATCTCCTGAAGAGTGTGCAGTTTTGAGTCAATGTGCACAGTATACACCTTTCACTTTCTCATGCGCCTACCGTAGCCCTCTATTGACCCTCTAGCGATCCCAAATTCATTATTCGACCAACAAGAATAACTCAACCAAAGAATTTTAGTGTGTTCGCAACGACATTTTTCTCAAGTCCCAAATTTGAAACCATCTGTTTGAAACAGGCTGTTTCATAAATCTATCATATTCTGAGTTTTTTGTTTCATTCATACCTGGGCGTAATCAACACATCCATATTGCTGGTTGGCTTCTGTGTTGCCTCATTCGGCACCGAACAGTACACCAAAACCATGACAATTGCCATCGATGTACAGTGTACTGCCATTGGCACAATCAACTTATACTTATGAAGTCGTTTAATCATTGGTCGGATGAACATGGCGCCTGAAAATTCGGTTTTTTACATAACTAGATATCTTCTCATCCCCTATAGATTCCTATCAAACCAAACTGGGTCATTAGATATGTTTTTGTATATGACGGTTTGGTTTCTGAACTATTGATATCATGGCTGTACTATTTCAAGGAATTCCTAACAATTTTTTTTCGTTGAAACAGAAGGAAATCATTGTTTTCTTTTTCCGTAGTCGCGAGGTCATTTAGTTTCGTATATGGTCGTTTTTTGCAGGTTTCATGCAAGAATTTTGCGGTTTGTGATCTTGATAAAGGATGATAAAAGATTACGTTTAAAGTGACGTCAAGCTAATACATAGTTGGGTGTGTTTGGGTTACGGTAGAAAAATAAGAGACCGAAAATGAGGAATAGCAGCTAATGAAATTTTTTGAAAACTTTACAAATTACTATTAAGATTACTATTAATGCAAAATGTCGAAATGATTTTAGAAATGTTTTGAAACTGAATTTTCATATTTTCCAGATAATTTTTTCCAGTTTCAAAGTTTTGGTTTCATTTGAGTTAGTTAGTTCTCAATGATAAGTTCTGCAGCCGACTTTGATCGTGTAGCTAAAATGATAGAGACGCTGGACTCCTAGGATTTCGCGAACGAGTTCAAATCCTCCAGTTTTAATCGAATTTTCCCTAATTGGACTGACAATAATTGCAAAAGTACTATAACTTTGTACTATAACTCAAACTAAAACTTTGCAGTTTCAAAACTGAATCATCTTTAAGCTTGAAATTTCGGTTATCATTTAAAACATAGTTAAGTTTTCTGAAAATTTACTCATTCTAAATATCAAAAATTTTGAAGATTTTAAAATTTTTTTCAAAACTTATAAACCTTTTTAATTTAGAAAACCCTGAATCTCAGCTAAACAACAATATGTTCTGTTCCATGATGCTAACTTTTTGTATTGCAATTTCGCTCATACTGATAATGCAGTTTTGTCTGATTGAAAATACTGAAGTTAGAACCATTTTGTTTAAAGAACCCCAAGCTTATGTATATGGGCCAACAGTATACAACCGCATAGCTCAGCGGATATCAGTACCAAACCTTTAATATTAGGTTTAGAAGTTCAAATTTTAGTATGAATTAAAAATTTGATGTTTCATTTTGGTTTCAAATTTACTCAAATTTTAAATCTTTTAATGACGTGTTTGAATGTCAAAGCCGCTACAGTTTCAACATTAGGTTCAAACTCTCAAAAGACTTACCGTAAACACTCCAATGGAAGACCACTCTATACTCGCAATTTGACCTCAATTATCTCGATTTCTATATGAGATACGGAAAATGTATTGACTAATAAATTACTTGTCGTAATATCACCAACATTTTATCCGTTGACAGATTTTCCTTATCTTTTATAGGAATCGAGATAATTGAGCTCAAAGTAGAGGATGGCCTATTACAGTGTTTACGGAATATGATCCGTTGCCATGTCCCTCCACATTTAGTGAAACCTCCTCAAGTGTTCATAATACTACACACAACATCACTAAAACTTCCATACCTCCCACTTGAAACCGTAACCCTCGATTTCCCAAAACTCACTCAAAAACGCGGCGGCTCCAGAGCTTAACAGGTACAATGCGATAATGTAGACGTCAGAAGCGGTTTCAGAAGTGAACGACAGTGAAGTTGGATAAATTCCGTACATGAACGATACCATACATCCCATGTAGACATATGTGAAGATCAGAAGAGATGTGTTTAGATGGGTGAAGGATTCTCCGAAGCGTTCTGGAAGTATACTGGGTTTATACGAGCCAATAAAAAGAGTACACACTGAATTGTGACAATAGAGAAGGCGTGACTCTTGGAGTGTTCAGAGCGATTGAGTCAAATTGTTTTGTTGGCAAAAATGTGAATAGGACCACTGATACAATGGTAAGAGCCATAAGAGAGAAGTAGATGACTTGGACTACATGCTCATCAAAGTTCAAAAAGTGTCCGTCGAATGTGTGTGGTACGAAATGGAAAACGAATAGCATTGTGACACCTCCAAAGAACAGGGATGTGTGGCCGAGACCAGTTTCCAGGGCAGAGTTGGAGTCGATGGTTCGGCGGGACGAGTGTTCGGAGAGGTATGTTCCTTCAGCACTGTTGTACACTGGAAAAATATGGAGGTTAGGAGGAATAAGCGAGATCCTAGAGTATATAGGCAATAGCTGCAAACCATAGCCGCTTTCTATATGCTATAGCAACTCTATTCGTATATCATTCAGTATGCCAAATGGCGTTAAACATACCCTAAGATCTCATGTACCCCCGCTGAACCTTATACAAAATATTACTGTAGCATAGTCTCCAATTATGTATGATGATTTTGTTGAAGCTTATTGCGACGAGGGGACATATTTTTCTCACAACTATATTTTTCACACAACTCTGTTCATATACGCCCCTAGAGGAACTGAGCTTGTGGACCCAACGCTGGTGATACCGTACCACTACACAGTAAGCTACATGGTCGCAATCCCAATTAACATTTTAACATTAACATTTTAAGATCAATATTAACGATGAACTCAAAAACATTTTCTGTTTCATAGTGCTCATTTTGGATACATCTTCTCCTGAGAAGATGCTCTCGATAGTGAAATAATATGATTCATCTGATCTTTGTACTTCTGACCACTCTATCTTTGATCTTATCTTATCCACCATTAGCTTCTTCCCTACACAGCTTCTGTCTTGTCTTCCTCTAGCTTCCATTTTGCCTGTTTTCACGTGAATCTTCTAGAAGGCCCACACTTGCCATGTGTTCCCTCAGAATGATGTCAAGAACCAGAATACGTGAAATTTCAAGGGTCTCGTGACCCATATATAATTGTTTTTTGAGATGGTAAAGGTCACAAAAACAAACTAGAAACTACACAAAGTTTTCAGTTTCATAGTGTCTAGAACTTCAAGGCTCTTAACCTTTGAATTAATAGAAGCCTCAAGATCATATTATACTCACTTGCATAGGCGAATCCAAGAAGCAGTTGGGAAGAGTAGAAGATGTAGGAATTGACATGAATGTATGCCACGTAGCAGACAGCAAATAGTACTGAGGATAGCATGAGCATGGATTTCGATGAAATGTAGTATTGGATGGTGGCTGTGAATAGGGAGAAGAAGGCGAATGAGATGTATTGGATGGCTTGGCTGGAAAAAATAGTTTTTATTGCTAAAAATTACTGTTTCAAATATCTAGTAAGTTGTTGTCTGGTGAGTTTTCGAATTAAGAAATGGTGGAACTAGTTTGATCATAAGTCCTAGGGCTGAATACGGAATTTACTAACCAAAATTATTACTGTTTACTTACCTTATCAAAATCTTCAAGCATATCATGTAGAATTGCTAACTACTGAATATCCGGTAATTTTTCATGGTCTTCTACTTGTTATTAGCACTTTCATGAATATCTGCCAAACATTCATAAACTATTTGAAATTGTAACTAAAATTGTTTCGAAAAATGTTTTACTGTATCAAGAAGACATTATGTAGATGACTTATGATCCACTTTTTGCTAACATGTATCTCCACGGTTGTTATCCTTTTTGCTCCAAATTTCACCCTTACTTTGACCCGATTCATCTCATTTCCCGATAGAGCTACCAAAAATGTTGACAAATCAATTCTTATAATGGCTAAACTGTTTTATTAGTTAGTAACTTTCTGATACCTAATACAGGAACCAACGTAACATGAACCAAAATTAGAGCACCTTTCTAGTTAGTGCTAAACTAAATTTATTATTTTAAAAATTAAAATTTCTCTGAAATTTTGTAATGGCGATTTGTTACTAAATTGGAGATCTTATACGAAATTTAGAACCATAATGAAACAGTGAAATTTGAAAAAAAAACGGATAAGAATAGCTGATAGATATGTCACCAAAAAGTTAGATTTAAGCCATCTACGTTTGGTTTACTTGATACTGTAATTTTTTTTTGAAATTATGTCAATTACAGTTTCAAAAAGTTGATAAAATGTTGGGAGCTTTTTTGCAAACACTGTAATGAAAATACACCCTAACTAGGACACAATTTACCTCGATTACTGTGAAAGATATCAAAATTGTTCTAACAAAATGTTTATCATTTTATCAAAAATATTTTGTCAGGTGACCACTTTTGGATTTCTTTGAAAGGAACCGAGATAAATTGGTTCAAATTTAGAATTTAAGCGGCTTTTTTTTTAATATGATGTTTATCATGTTATTATAACTTTCAACTAGGAATATCACTTGTTTGATACAGTAAACATGGATTCGTGGGGCTCCATAACTTTAGCTCATTGGCTCAAAGTTAAAAGTTCAGTGGCTTATCGGATACAGCCTTCAATATTTTCATATGATTTTCAATTAGGAATATAACTACTTGCTTGATACAGTATTCCTTACTAACAATTATCACAAAACTTTGGTATTCTAGAAATAATGAAAAGTAACTTTGATAAGGCTAGAAAAAAATAACTTTTTGTTAAATTCAGATTTCTGTTTGAGACATTAACAGTTATCAATTTCAGTAAATTGAAACAATAATGTATCAACTTTTTGAAACAGTAATTTTCAGCAATTTCAATAGAGATTCACTACAGTAGTCGTTAGAACAACCGGAAAACCCAAAAACCAACTAACTGACCTAGAAACCTCTACTTGCAGATCTGAGGCCATCCAAAACTCACCCATAGTATCCTGCATACTCGCTAATCCTATCCGGATTCCTTGTACTAACTGAATGGAGTACACTTTCGGCCATCATCGATTGCACATCGTATCCCAAAAACATAAAAGTCGTTCCAATAGAAACCATGAACACCGAGACGAGCTCATGTCGTCTGGGTGTTAGTTGGAACATCATTGGTTCTGGAATTTCGGAAAAGTTGTATGAATGGTTTTTAAATTTGAAAAAAAGGAATTAAGAAACTTCTCAAGCGGCAAAAAATTGAAAATTCGAGAGAAAAAACTTCTGGAACGAAAATCAGATACCATATCCAAATTAAAAGGTCTCTCTATGAACCAGGTATAACACATTGAAGGGGCGGAGACCGGTGGGCGGAGCTTAATCGGAGAAGAATAAGAAAAAAAGGAAGAGAAAAGATAAGAATGATTAATGGGTCTTCTTTTTTGGGGTATTTTTTCTGTTGTGATTAAGACTCCGCCCACTTTTTTTTGGATTACTCATCTTTTCAAACGATTTTTGGTCAAATTTTCATATAAAAATTTTCATAATATGATATGTAGACTGTATTAAGAGAAATTGAAAATTTTAAGTTTTTAATCGAAAATCTGAAAACGAAAAAAAAAAACGTTTTTCAGCAGTTTGCTGAAAATGCGCTCCATTGAACATTTTTTGAAGGTCCCCATCGGCTGAGCAAAGTGGTCGAAATCGGCTTCTCAAATGAGAAAGGTTACAGTAGTCTCAAAAATTAGTAAACATCAAAGTCTTTTTTCATTATCAGAGAGTTACCTAATTCAAATGAAATTAAGAACATTGAAACGAAAAAAAATCTAGAATTTTCTTTGAAAAAAAAACCATACTGTTTCAAATTGGCTATTTCATTAATGTCTGTAGAGTGACTTTGTTAAAGGTTAGGTACAGTAATCCAATACATTTGCACTGGAAAAAAAACTAGAACTCTGTATGTACATAAGCCATATGAAATCTGAAAAAGTACAGTATTCCATATTAAATGAATTGGTAAAAGGCGGATAAAACTGGTCAAAGTCAAACGGCTAGAATATAGATAAACCATCCGGAACAGAAGTTTTTTATCTGAATTCTGTTTCATGAATTTGTTAAAAAGTGAAAAAAAATACTTTGAATAATTAATTTCTCATCGATGATACATCCTTATTCAGCTTTATTCATTTCTAATAAAGTTATCTTGGACCCTAATAGAGATATCAAAAAAGTGTCAACTAAAAAATATTCAAAATTTTACCAACAAAATTTTATCAGTTGACTACTTTTTGATATCTCCTCCAGGAATTTAGATGATTTTGGTTTTCTAGCTAGTTGTTTGAACTCTGTCTATAAGTGTAATCTTACTATCAGATTCCCGTTCCACACAAACACCCCGAATCTACAGTAATCCTACTACTGCGCAATCTAAAGAGAAAAACTCGATTTCTGAGAATAACAGAAGCTTATCACAGATTGTACCGCCGGGTGTGTGTGTTTGTGATATCACTGATAACACAAAAAAAGATGAGAATCGGTCAAATAGTTCAGCCAATGCGCATCGTTCAATGATAAGAATAATCAAGGGAGAGAGGATGTGACATCATTTTTGTAGTAGTCAGAATCAGAATCAGAAGACGTTGGAGGTGAGAAAAAGTTTGAAGATCACTAAAACAGAAAGATGTGTTATTCGCCAAAGCCCAAAATCAAGAAGGAAACATCATCTTCTCTTCCAGTTGTTTTTTCAGATCACTGATTTTTTTTGGCTGCTAAACAATCGATTTTTTTGTTACACCACTTTTGGGGATTCCTTTGTTTCAGTCCCCAATAAATTATGGTTTTTTTTAATCATTTTGAAATGATAACATAATGGAGAATCGAAAAAAAAACCGGAATTTTTTGAGTTGTTATTGTCTGGATGAGAAGGTTATCATTTAAAAAATTAGAGAAGAAGGAAGCGAATTTTTTTCAGATGGGGTTTTTTCTGATGGTTTTTTGGTAGAATTTTGGATTGATAAGGAGGAGTCGGGGGACTTTAGAAATTGATGAGTGACTTAACAAAACGAAATTTATTGAAAAAGTGGAAATCAAGAGTTTGAAACTGGAAAAATTATGAATTTTATGGAAAAAGATTGGGATATTTTTGCCCGAAAAAAATACAGATCTTTACTATTAACAAACACCAAATTCTCATCTCCGACGCTAGCGAAGTTTCCAGTAGACCATACTTGTAACGTGCCGGGCCGGGCTTTTTCCCGAATTTCGGAGGCAAGGGGGGACCCTTATGTGATTTTTTCGATCAATAAGTTTTTTTCGAGTTTTTTTTTTTTTTGATCAAACAGACAAACAATCAAAATGCACAAAAAAAATACAGAAAATTGTATTGAGAGCTCAAAATTCGGTTCAAAATGACATAACTTTTGCTACCGGGCCTTCCGGGCCGGGCCTTGAAATTTTGAAATTTTTTTTCCTCAGGCCCGGCCCGGCCCGGAAAAGCCTTGAAATTTTCCTCAGGCCCGGCCCGGCCCGGAATTTTACAAGTATGCAGTAGACCAAAATTTCTCAAATTTTCACAGAAAATCCGAAATAGCAGCGAGATTATGCCACCACTTTCCGTTTTTCGAAATTTTGATTTTGAAGCCTTCTGGAGACGTTCCTAGGTTTCATCACAGTGAAAAAAGGGTGGTGGAACTTTCCCCATGGGAAGAGAGGGCGCGGGCGAGAGGGGGAGGAAAGAGCGGAAAGAGCGGAGCAATACCATAAGTCTACTCGGATTGTCAACCAGCCTCCACGCTTGGTTATGAAATCTAATCAAAAGTATTATAATTAATTTTTGTTCCCTTTCTTTCTAGATTAAGTTTGTAGTCTACGCTCCCCTTTCAATAGTTTTATATTTGATCTACCAAATTATTTGTGATCTACCCACCTTCTTAGTTGTTTCATTGGTCAGAACCCATTATTCGTCGGGGCCCATTCTCAGTCTGTCATAGTCTCTCCCCAACCATCTCTAGCTATCCGCATATATTCTGTACTTTCTAGTATTTGAATAAACTAGTATTCTAATAACTACTATTCGTATTCCTTGAACCGGCGAGAATACCGGATTCTAAGGACTCAACACATAGATAATTATCTCAAAAACATCTAACCTGTTTTCAGCGTCAAGTCCAGTGGAGAAAACATGCTCTGGTCATTCACAGGATGTCGAGTTGAATTGCCTGCCACAGACGGCCCAGAATTACACGCCATTGAAAAGCACGGAATGAAGCAGGGAAGAATCTTCCGTTGCTCATGCTGCAGGTCAATCTTCTCACTGGCCAGCGCCAACCGAATCCACAAAAAGCACATGAAAATGCCCAATATCCAGTCCGACTCAACCCCACTTCTCCATTGCTCAAGACCAAAAGGATGGAACAAAAAAGACCTAGACTCGAACTTGACGAAGAATGATCAAGCGCAAAATGAAGTTGTGCAACTAGCAGATTCGCTGGATACTGGGATTGAATCGGATCAGAGCAAAGCCCTTGAGAAAGCTGAATTAGTGGAAAAACCTCGCGAAAAGGCAATTCAAGAAGAGACGGAGATCGTGGTGACGCTCGATCGAATCAAGAAGAGGTCGAGATTGTGAACACCCTCGAAAAAGCCATTCAAAGAGCAGAGGCTCTTCTCATCGGAAATATCGATTACAACCACATTGAATCCCTATTGAGAGAGTTAAGACGATTGAAAAAGAATGCAATGATGAGAAGTTGAAGAGCGAAAAGGTGATGGGAAAGCTCATGGAAGCTGGAAAAGCCAGAAAGGTAACACCGAAAATCGTAAATTTTTTTGCACAATTCAAAATTTCAGCTAGCAGCAGCGAAAAGAAAAGGGAATGGTCAAAAAGCTCCACCTACCAAGAAAAATAAGCCATCAGAATTGACAGTGAGTTTGCTCTGGGGGAAAAACTTGACTCAAAAACTTGACTTATTTTCAATGAATTGTGCAAAAACGGTGCTTATCTAAACTACTAATTTGTTTTTAATTTGAGTAAGCAAGAAACCTTTTTTTTCCAGAATCGTGAGAATCATGAGTCTGCTTCTCTTTCGACGTCTTCTGCAACGTCTTCCGCCACGTCGTCTGCCACTTCTCCTACCATTTCTACCGCATCCACGTCATCTGCTCCACCAGCTCCAGAATCATCAAACGCGAGAAAGCCTGGAAGACCCAGAAAGATGGTGTAGAGAACCAAAAATCTAATATTATCCACTTTATCCACTTTGAAATTTATTTTGTGCGAATTTCTACACTTAAATTTAATCATTATTTTAATTGTATTTCATTAGGTCATTGTTAAGTAGATTTTTTTTGTAGTAGGTAAGTTCAATCAAATTATTTAAATAAATTTTATCGCTGTGTGTTGTTTTTTATTTGAAGAAAGGTGAATTTTAGAGAAGAAAGAGACAAAAAATCCGGTTAAAAAAATTTGCTGGAAATGCTGGATGAATTATTTTTCGAATGCTGAAATTTTGAAATTCACTAAAAAGAGTTTGCTGAAAAAATAGAGAACATTTTTGAATAAAAAAGAATCCCGAAATAACAGAAAAAATAACGAAAACTGAATCAGAAAGTTCCAGAACATCGAGATTCCTGGAAATTCGGAAAATCGAATAACGGAAAAAGGTGAAAATAGAATATTCGGATGTTAAGAAGAAGGTATTTAATACTCAAAATTCAGAAATTCTAAAACTGAGAAGTTCAGAAATTCAGAAATTCTAAAACTGAGAAATTCAAAAATTCAAAAATTCACAAATCTAGGAATTAAAAAATTCTGGAAATATACCGTAAACACACTAATTGAACGCCACCCGGACCGTCCACTTTGAGCCTATATATTTCAAGCTTCCATGAGCTTTCCCATCACCTTTTCGCTCTTCAACTTCTCATCATTGTATTCTTTTTTTAATTAACTCTCTCAATAGGGATTCAATGTGATTGTAATCGGCATTTCCGATGAGAAGAGCCTCTGCTCGTTGAATGGCTTTTTCGAGGGTGTTCACAATCTCGACCTCTTCTTGATTCGATTTGTCGAGCGTCTCCACGACCTGTAGAAATTACCGTATCATGAACGTACTATATTAATCCGTTATTCTGGATTTTGCTTGATGATTATAGAAGTCATGAAATTTTATTTAATTGCTGTTAATGGGATTGTACCAATAAATTTGATCTGGTATTTCTGGGATAGTCATGGAAGTTATAAAACGGAAGTTTTTGTTTCAAGTGTGATAGGTCGACAGGTTTATGATGTTTTTTTGGAGTGTGAATTTTTGCGTAACGGTGTACAGAGATTGGTGTTTGCACTGTTCACATTGGAGCTTGCAACCGCGTAGCTGGATGGACCTTTTTTAAAGTAATTGAGCCCTTCCTGTAGCTGAAAAATTGTTTTTTTTATTTAGTTTATATATATTTTTGTACTTAGTTCCATTTGAGATAGAAAAAAAAGATACCAGTTTCATAATGTAACCTTATGAACGAATTTATGATATAAATCATTGTAAGAAAAGACATTAATTCAATATTTAAAAAATAACATATAATGCTATTGAAAACTATGTAATGAATGATCACTATCAGAAAATCAAGAAAGGAGTCGAAAAATTAAAATTAAAATCAACAATTGACAGAACCGTTACTGTTCTCATACTTGTAAAATTTTTGCTACCGGGCTTTCCGGGCCGGACCCGGGCCTTGAAAATTTCCTCAGGCCCGGCCCGGGCTTTGGCGGGCCGGCTCGGAATTTTACAAGTATGACTGTTCTCAAAAATACCGTAAAAACTGTATTAGATATCCATGGCACTCTATTGTTCGGGAGTGATCTGGGGGGGCATTGTATTAGGGGCTGGCATTCAATTAGAGGCTGACACTTTATTGTTTGGAGTCAATTTCTACTGAAACTCATCACAAAAGGACTCGATTTTCAATTGTTTCATAAAATGGCTTTCGAGGTTTTCGTGATTTACCAACTTTTTTTAAAATAGACTTTCGGAGTCTGATATTATCCTGAAACATTTTTGACAAATACAGTACCTCTAGAAAACCAGAAAATGATTTATTCGTGTTATTCTTCACCTTTACCACTGTGACATCAAATCCGCTCCCGATACGGTTCGGGCTCCGGAGTTGGCTCTCTGGGTGTTGGCTCTCGTGGCGGTGGAGATGGAGTTGTCTCACGGATGGGACTTGGTTCAGGTGATGGTAGGATTAGTTCTGGAATGTATTACCAAATACAATTGAACTTCTTGTTTAATTTTCAAAGTTTGTACAGAGTGTCTGAAAAAGAAAAAATCTGAAAATCTGGATAACTGATATAAAACGCATGTTTCCTTGAAAAATCTGAAGATCAAAAAACTTTCTGATCTGGGAAAATAAGAGAAAATACTAGAAGGAAAACGTTCATTTGTCACCAAATTGAGATTCTGGAAATCTGAAAAATGACGGTGACATGCTTCTAAATGTTTTTTGAGGCATGTTCCAGCCTTTAAATCTGGAAAACCAGCATATATTATCGCTATCTGAGAAAAAAAAGGTTGAGACGCAGAGAAAAAATGTCCGCGTCTCCACCTAACATGTCCTATTCATGCTCGCCGCTTCGAGGTTCCCACCGTATTCAGACTGCAAAAAATTCTCTCAAACCTTATTTTTTCAGAAAACAGTAATAATTGGTGAACATACATGGAAATTATTTTTTGAAAAACCATGGTTATCATAGTTGTTGGAAACTTTATGAATCTTGCGAAAAATGTTCAATTTCAGATATAGAAATGACATCTATTATTATGCACTTTTGACAAAATATATCTCGGTTCCTGTAAAATATATTTGAAACTTTCAAAGAGGAAAATGTTTTCCTTGATAGCAGAAACATTTAATCAGTGAACCATTTATAGATATCTCAATCAGGAAACGAGATAATTAAATTTTAAGGAACGATGTTTTCAATGAGTTTCACAAATTTTCAAAAGTGAACATTCAAAAATTATTTGAAGGTGATGAAAAAAGTTTCAGAAAAAAAATCGAAATTCTAAATCAAAACGATTACGTGAGTTGGTTCAGAAACCCACGGGCCCATAAAAAGTACTATAAAAGACGAGGCAAGTGGAGGAAGAATCAGTTCTACTCTTCTCTGGGCTCCAGAGAGGGGTCCTGGGTCCTGGGTCCTGGGTCCTGGGGTCCTGGGTCCTGGGTCCTGGGTCCTGGGTCCTGGGTCCTGGGTCCTGGGTCCTGGGTCCTGGGTCCTGGGTCCTGGGTCCTGGGTCCTGGGTCCTGGGTCCTGGGTCCTGGGTCCTGGGTCCTGGGTCCTGGGTCCTGGAGGACAAATGCTGTTAGAGGATCTAGAAACGAGAATCGCACTTTAGAGAAGTCTGCTGTCAAAATCATAATACTTTTTTTCAATACCTGGAACTGAAATCAGATAATTCGTGCAGTGCGATGATCCACAAAAAAACAAGATCATTTGGAGCGCTTCTGATGGTTCAGACTGAAAATAAGGGAACTGGATTAAATAAATGGTGAATCGTTTGCTACGTATTCTTTGTGATTTTCACATCTCCATTCCTTTAAGAGATATCGAAAAATTTGCAATGGCCAAACTTTCCCGTTTTTTCGAAAAGTATAATTTTTCAGATGATATATAAAAATGTTCAAAAATGAGTTTACCATGCAAGGAAACCCAGGGAGTTATCATATTCCAATTGCGTTAATATTTTGCTTCAGTTTAGCACATCATTCAGAAACAGTTTTTATTCAATTTCTTTAAAATCCAAAAAAAAAAAGAATTTCATTTCATTTCGCTCCACTTTCCCTCCTTGACGAACTGCTCGGATGGCTTGACTTCTTGCTCTCTGGAGTCGCACTCCTTGATGTTTTTCCAGATGCCACTGACGTGACCGACTGACTTCGTGTGGATGGTCCAGTACCACCAATACCTCCTCCTTCTGGTGATGCTCCAGATGCTGCCTGTTTGGATGTTGATGCTCCAGAAGACGGAGCCGGAGTTTTCTGCGTCTGCCGGAACTTTTTCCATTGTTTCTGGTATTCTTGGTATCTTCTCCACGCTTCTTCACTGTAAGCTTTGCGCTTTTGGGCGGCTATTTCAGCGGCAGTTAGTGGTCGAGCTGGAAATTTGAAGATTAAGTCTCAAGCACTTTTTAAAGTTTCAAGGTCTCTAGGATAGCTGGCTTAAGGTATCTAGGATAGCTAGCTCAAGGTCTCCAGAATAGCTGGCCTAAGTCCTTTAGGATAGCTGGCTTAAGTTCTCTAGAATAGCTAGGTTAATAGCTAGGATAGCAAGTCTCTAGGATAGCTAGCTTAAGGTCTCTAGAAGTAGAGTTACTTACGTTTTGGCGGTGGTGGCGGTGGAGGCGTCGGCTCCCGATACGGTTCGGGCTCCGGAGTTGGCTCTCTGGGTGTTGGCTCTCGTGGCGGTGGAGATGGAGTTGGCTCACGGATTGGGCTTGGTTCAGGTGATGGTAGGATTAGTTCTGGATTGTATTTCACTGTAGATTATTGTACCCTCAACCTCTCAACTATTCGAGTTACTGTTTTAGCCCTGCTAGCATGCTGTACCTTGTTTTTCACTGCTTCAGAACCATGTCAAGTACTAGAGACTCATTTTCGGTATTAATTCGATTCCATTTCTTAAGGGATATTGAACTAAAAATCACTGTTTCACAATCAACATAATCACTCATGAACTAATTGAAAACTTCAATTCAAGATAAAAGACAGTTTCATTCTGAATTACTGTACCCACAACCTCTCAACTGGGGAGATCACTAACATACTGTACCTTTTTTTCTAGAAATTGAAAAAAAAATCGCTGTTTCACAATCAACATAGTCACTCATAAACTAATTCAAAACTTCAATTGAAAAATTCCAATACAACTCGGGATAAATGTACCCTAAATCTCCCAACTATCGCTCTGCTAGCCTACTGTACCTTGATCATCATCGGATTCTTCTGGAGACGGTGTGGCAATAACCATCGAGTCATCTGTGATCGTCGGACTTGGTGGCGGAGGTGGTGATGGCGTTTGGGTTTCGGCGATGGAAGACGGTAGACTGGTTTTGGAGTTGGTGGCGGTGTTGGTGTCGGATCACGAATCCATTCACTCTCTAAATTAGGAAAACACTGCAGAAATCAAAATCACACAGAAATCAGGATATTCTACCGTAACCCAAATGCCGCGTAGCTGAGGAGCCATAAATTCGTATTCTCAAGGGGATTCTTTGGGTAGAAAGACAATAATTTGTTAAAAGTTGCGCCCTGTTTTAAGCCAAGAATTCCAAAAATCAATTCACCAAAAAATAAACTATCAATTTCACAAAACTAGTTGAAATCAGACGAAAATTATAGAAATCTGTTAAGGCTCTCGTGAAAGTTCGATTTTCTTAAATTTTCAGATTCTCAAAACTTTTTTACTCTTTCAAATATGTCATAAAGATGCGTTATCGAAATAAAACGGAGATCCCGTATCCGGAAAAAAAATCACATTTTCAGTTTTTCGTAGCTTTTAGTTTTTCGTAGCTTGAAGGCTGAAAATTTGCATTTCTATTTTAATTCAGGAATTCTTGGAGTCTCAGAATTTCCAATTTTTAAGAATTTCGATTTAGAAGGATCGACCCAGACTGATGGCAAATAACTTATTTCCCCTGATAGAAGTCTACTGAAACCATTACCGTTGAGCTCAATCATCTCGTTTCTCGTAAAATATACGAAAAATTTGTCAACTGACAAAATGTTGGTAATATTGTAATAGATAATTTATCAGTTGACACATTTTTGGTATCTCTTACAGGAACCGAGATAACTGACCTAAAAGATAATGGTTCGGCTGCACTGCTATATACCGTAACTTGGTCTCAAACCTCTTCTGGTAACCAGAAGACTTTAAACAACTTAGTAAAATCAGATACCATTGAGTAGATCTCGGTGAGTACTACATTCCCCTTTTTGATTTGAATCAAAACTCCAAATTTAATGAGAGCTACGCAGCCAACAAGTTTGCTTACCAGGCTCATCCGCAAACTCAGCATCAAATCGTTCGGAATCCGGTTCGAATGGCGGTGGCCGAAGTGTCTCGATCTCTCCCTCTTCCACTTTAATCGCTTGATCCACGAAATGGTCCAAATTCAAACTTTTTACTACGGTAGTCGGCAAATTAAATTGGTCACCCAGATTTTTGACCAAAGCTTTCATGGTGATTCTGAAAAAAAGTTTTCATTTTCAGAACATTTTCAAATTTCGTAAATTTGATTTTCCGAATTCTGTCGTTCAACAATCCTGAATAAAAGTGATTTAAAAAATAAAAAGCGATTGTTGAGACAGTTCTCTCAAATTCCGCAAATTAGTGTTTTTTTTTTGAAATTTTTTTCAGTTTCAGAACGTTTTCAAATTTTTTACCATCCAATATTCTAAATTACGACATGGTTCCCGAATTCTAAACTCACTTTTTACCACCAAACCAAATCGCCACATTTCCGACATTTTCGATTTTTCGTCCAAAATAATGCAACTTTTTGAGTGCATCTGCAGCGATTTCTATAGCAATTGTGGTCAAGGCCAAACCAACGGCAATGTAGACAATTGTGATAAGCATGTACGTTTCGCTGGAAAAAAGTAGTAATAAAAATTTCTTATAAAACAACTGAATAAGATATTGGAGCTAACTGACCAGGTTTCGAAAACAAACATATTGAAACAGGAATATTTCGGGAAAAAAAACGTTTGAAGTTCAAATCAGACTTGTGGGGAGACATGAAAAAAATAATGTTCTCGAAATTCCGTTTAAATATGCTCCTCGAGGAGTTGAACTTGTGGGGGATCGAGGATTGAGGGTGCGACTGAGCCACGCGGGCAAAGAAAAAGCGGCCACCCGATTGCATACATAAAGGCGAGGACGACATCTGTACTCAGAGTGACTGTGAGCGCTGTACACCGTCACGGTAGAATGCATACCCTGGCTCCAAAAATCCTACGAAAAATCTCCTGTCCCCAAACCCTCTTTGATATACACAAATTTGTGTATACTGAACGAAACTAGAATTTCATTTTTGTAGTTTACAACTTTTTTCTAGCTATCGTAGTTTTTGATATATACGCCTTTAAACAGAGCCTGCCTGATAAATGTATAAAAGCATTCAACTTTAAAATCCTACAAAAGATTTCATAATTTCTCGATTTGGCCGTAAATTTCAGAGTGTGCTAAACAAAAAAAACTTCAATTTTGTAGTTGACAACATTTTTGTAAAAGGCCAACGAAGTTCGATAATTGGGTTTGAAATGAAACAGTCATCATCAGAGCTCCCTTAAGGATAATCTGAAATTTTTAGAAAAATGGAAAGTTCTGAAAATTTAAATAATCTCGAATTTTTTGAACTTCTAGGTTGACTAATCTCCTTGGCTGTAAAAAAACTGGAATTATATCCTGTTTCCAAAACAGTGTTTTAAAGTTTTTAAAAGAAATTTCCGCTACTCACCTCCTCGGCACAATATCTCCCAAACCAATAGAAGTAAGCGTCACGAAATTGAAGTAGACCGCTTTGAAAAAGTCCATATCAGGCTCATAAGCAGCCAACATCATTCCACCAAATGCGATATAAACCAGGAAAAGAATAAAAAGAGACGTCGCTTCGGTTTCCGTCAAATCATCCTCCTCTTCTGATGTCTCTGACGTCTCCTCGATCTCGTTTTCCACTTTTTCATTTTCCAATATCTTTTCTTCAATGTCCGTATTTGATAAGTCTTTGGCACCGGACAGTTTTGGATAACGAATGAAGTTCGGGTTCCATGCTTTTTTGAGTTTCCTGAAAAAACGAATTTTGGTAGATTCCCTCAATTTTAACCTTCTTTATCTCTTCTCCTTTAAAAGATAAAAAATTGTCGACTGATAAAATGTGTGCCATAATGTTCTTAACATTTTATCAATTGACAACTTTTTGATATCTTTTACAGAAACCCAGAAAAATTGGGTTTAAAGTTGCTTGACCTACTTCCATGTCTTTTTACAGAACGTTTTTGCAACAACCATCATTTCGGAAATGAATTTTCCGAGGTCTGCGATCGCAAGAAGTGTAAATGGGATTCCAATCAAGCCATAGCCAATCACAAACAGACGACCGCCGAATGTTCGAGGAGCCACGTTTCCGTAACCTAGAAATTTTGGAAAATAAACATTTGCAGTTTCAGGAACTTGTTAAAACTTTTTTGCAACTTTTCATAATGATAGTTTGTTGTTAACATGGTGATCCAAAATTCCTCTTTCAGTATCATTAACATTTTTCCAGAGTTATTTGATTCTTTCAATTTCCAATTTTTTGAACCCTTGCCATCATAAAAAAGGTTATTTCTGGAACCCTATAACCTAGTCAAGCGTGAAACTTGGACTATTTGAAAATTGGCACGTTCACATATACTTTGGTCCGGAAATTTGTTTTTTGGGGGTGTCTGATTTTTGGTGCTAGTTTTTGATGGACATAGATCATCAAAGATATTGAAATTGTGACAGCATTTTATTTTTTGAATAAAAAAATTCAGTTTCAGAATTTTTGTGAAAGTCAAATATTTTTTCTCTCTTCGTTACACAGACTATCAAAAAACGAAATAACCCGCTTAAAGATCTCCCGACTTTCAAGTTTCGAGATTTAGATGGTTTCAAGCGGTATATCTGATTTAGAGGAATTCGTACCAAAAAGATGTCAACTACAAAAGTGAAGCTTTATTTTTGTTTAGTACAATATGAAATTTTTTGTACCATTCAACAAAATATACTATATTTCACAGACATGCAAAGTTGACCATTTTCAACTGAAAACAGGGAAAATTAACAAACTTCCGTTTAGCTCTTTTTTATTATTTGTGTGAAACTGGAAAATTGAAAATCAATATTTAAATAAATTGTTGAAGAGTCACAGGTTTCAGGTTGAGGTTTACATTAAAACTCAAGGCTTGCAGACAGGTGGACAAAAAACACTATTTCTAATGATTCCTGTTTTAAATAACTTGTTTCAAAGACTACACTCAAGTAGTTGGATTCGATGCACATATCAGGGTACAGGGTACCGATCTCTGTACACCGTCACGTCAAAATGCACACTATCGCTTTAGACTGAAGAACAACTTACCTATAGTGGTTATAACCGTAAACGCAAAAAGCAACGAATCCATAAACGACCATTCGGCGACTTCCTCTTCTGCTTCCTCACCAACAGATTCCACTTCTTCTTTACTATTTGTATACAAAACATGATTGACATGTGTATTATGTTCAACTGCCACGTGGTAACACTCATCCAACGCCTTCACTAGCTTCTCGTCAAGAGTGTCCATCGAACATTCCATACTTGACATTTTCTGAAAAAAATCGGTTTCATTAGTTTGATATAAATATTTACTAAATTTAGTAGTTCAGTTTGATTAATTGAAAAATTTTTTGTGTTTCGGTTTATTGATTTCCTCTGATTTTGAGGTCAAATTCAATTAACACCTACCTTTATGACGCCAATCACACACTTTCGACTTCTCATTACATGAGCGGCTGCTCGTTTTTCTCGGGATTCTCTGTAACCAGTTAATTAAGCAACTAATTAACAAACTAATTAGGGCTAATTACCTATCAGAAATTGGGCTCTGTGTTTCATTATGTCTTCGTCGTCTTCGATGCCTCAATTCCAGCGGCAGTGGGGTTATGGTGGGAAGTTCAACTGAAAAAAAGCTCTGTTTCATGCACTAGTTATCTGAAAAACGAAAGAACGAGAAGTGTTCATCATGACGAACATATGAAATTTTAACTCTGAAATTGTATTACTGAAGTTTTTCCAAATCGAAAAAATATACTTGAAATTAAACAATCTCTGTTTCCAATAGTTTTTTAAATATGACCTGGAACTTGGAATTTAATTTGTCCGGTATTGGAAGCACTTGGTTTGAAAAAAAACTGGAATTGAAGATGGTGAAAAAAAAAGTAAAATGATCGAACCAAAAATTGCTAAAAATGTAATGTTTCAGATTCATTTCTACTCATTAGTAAAATTGAAAATGGAAATTTTACAGGATCAGGAATTTTACAGGATTTACAGGAATTAAAAACAGGATCCCATTATGATTGAAACAAGAAAAATTAAAATAAAATTGAAACAGTAGAAAATAAGTAGAAAAGCTTTTGTTCTCGTTTGTCAACTTTCAAAATTTTCAGTTTTACTGATCTTATAAATCGGTTAGAAGAGTTACTGGCACAATGGGATCGCGCAGAACAATGCACTACAAACATATTAGCTTGAAAAAGATAATAACTGATTTGAGAAGTTTTTGGTTTTTGAAGCTTTTTTCTAACAGTACGCAGTCTTGCGTGACGGTGTATGTACAGTTACCGGTGTTTAAATATTTTTATACTTATCGTATTTCCAATTGATGACTCTAGTAATATCAAATCCACATTTATCATTAGCGACTATTGTCAAATTATTATTATTCACTATGTGAAACACAAAAACATTAAATTTGAAAAAAATGAGTTGCTTAAATTCGAACTGCTTTAACATGAATTGTAACAGAAAACCTTGGATTTCTCAAAATTTGATTTTTTTCAATTACTCACCACTTGTCAAATTTGCATGTCTTCTATGAACATCGGTTTTCTTCTCGATAGTTGTCACAGTTTTTGATTCCAGACTTCTCATGACAAGTGCTCCAAATATCGCATATGCTCCGACGCTCACTATCATGAGAAAGTGAACAAAAAGGGGTGTGGCCTGGAAAATAAATTTGGAAATGAGTATTACGGACACTGGTCTACTAAACTTTAATTTTTCTCAAAATATTTTTATCTAGATTCTGAAACGGTGATTTTTTTTCCTTAATTATCTGATTTTCTATAAAAGATATCGAAAATTTGTCAACTGATAAAATGTGTAAAATTTTATGAAAAACATTTTATCAGTTGACAAATTTTTGATATCTTTTATCGGAACAAAGATAATGGATTATAAGCTACAGTAACCTTTTGAAGGAGATGTTTCTCGCCACGAAACACGGATTTCTTGAGTGTCAGCTTCATTTTCTTCTATGTAGAAGGGGTTTTTGAAAACTCCAGAAAATAGATCAAAAAATTTTGAGAGAGGGCTCACGCCGTTTTGGGTAGTCCACTGCCGATTGAATCAGCCATCCGTAACCGCCAGAGGGGACACCAGAAAATTTTTACATTTTTTATTTGAGAATTTTTGATGAAAGAACACTGAATATAGAGTTCGATAAGTGAGAGAGTATGGGAAGAATGAGAGGTTTAGAGAACATTAGTTGGGAAAAACAAAAACAATTGATTATGAATCGAATCGAGTGGAAATTGAAGTTTTTTGGGAATTTGTTTTGTTGGAAAATCTTTGGATTTTTGAAAATTTCAGAAATGGGAATTATCGAATTATACTTTGAAACTGAACAAACGAAAAACAATTGATTTCAAAAATTATACTACCAATTTGAAACTGATTAATTTTTCCCAAAAATGGTTTGAGAACTCAAAACTTTTTTTAAAGTAGCTGGAGTTATTTTTTTCAGGAAATCGAGAAATTTCAACTTCATTTTCCGAAAAACGGGAAGAAATGTTTTTTGCTATATATCATCTTACTGGATGAACTTGAAAAATTCAGACTTTCATGGGAAACTAGAAACAGGAAAAATCTCAAATGTTGAATATTTTTCGAATTTTAAAATTGTGATGAAAAATTAAAGATTCGACAAAAAAAAGTTACGATGATCAATTCCTTTTTTAAAAACCGCTTCAAAAATTATCAAAATTTTAAAACAGAAATTTTCGATATTTTTCAGAATGTTTTCAAAATCTGATTTTTCTGGTAAAATTTTGAAAAGGTCGATTTTTGAGCAAAAACGCTCAATTTCAAAAAGTATTGACTTTTGTGAAAAATTAACATTTTGCAATAAACTTGATAATCGCACTGGATCTCAAAAACTTTATTGCCAAAAAATTCGACTTTGACGACTACAAGTCTCTTCTCCAGTTGAAAACAATGGAAATGAATGACACAGCGAAATCAAATGAATAAGTAATCAGGGAGATTTGGGCAGATTTGACTTTAAAGGGACATAGAACATTCTCTCTCTCTCTCTCTCTCTCTCTCTCTCTCTCTCTCTCTCTCTTTTCTTGTTAAGAACAAAAAAAATGGGGTGAGTGAAAAATGAGAAGACGAAGAACTAGAAGGAGAGAGGGCTTTAACAAAAAATCTAAACATTTTTAGTATACATATGAGGGGTGAGAATTTAAGGAGACATTTTTTTCTGTCAACAACAAGAAAACTGTGGGAAAAGGAGAGAAAAATGAGAAGAGAGGGCGGGTTAGTTTGAAGATCGAATTTAGAAATTTTTAGAGCTGTTTGAAAAGCAAGATTTTGAGTTCTTTTTTTCTGAAGCGTTTAGTACTAAAATCTTTGAAGTTCTAGAGTTTCCCAATGTTTTGGAATCAGGTTTGACTTCAAATATCCATTGAAAAAAACCTAGAAATGTAAAATTTTGAAAAAAATGCAGAAAACTCAGAAACTCCCTTTCAAAATGTCATGCATTCATGATTCACTAAAAATTTCCTAAATTTCCCTGAACTTAATTGTAATTCCGTATCCTATCCGATTGCGAATAATTGCGAATAAAAACGGATCCGTTCGCGAACTCAGATTCGCGAAACTGTCCGTAACGGACCCGTTACGGACAGAAAACCTAGTGGACATCGAAACGGATCCGTTCGCATTTTACCTGTGTAAAAATCAAACCTAATGTATTTCTAAGATGATGTCAAAAATTAATGAATAACATGAAACAGCATATTTAGTTCACAATTGGTTTGGTTTCAATATCCAAAACTTCCAACCCGACATGAAAAGGAAAAAAGATGTTCAATACATGATCTGTGAAAAAAAAATTTGAAGCCCGGAATATTATATTTTTCTAAAAATTTCAGTGTTTTTAATGGAAAACGCGGTTCTAAGTGTCTTAATTCTCATTCAGTGCAAAAACGGCATATCTCATGGAATTTCGCAAATTTTGTTTAGTATAATTGGACATTTTCAGACAAGCAAAAAAACTCTGTAAATAGTTTATAAGAACTCCAAAATCAACTATGTTCCACTGGAAAAAGTTGTCCTTTCTGTCCCCAGTCAGACAGAACATGATGAATAAGTCCCCTCTTTTTGGTCCAATTCTTCGGACCAATTAGAAGGGGGTCCCATTTCCCTTGTTTCTTTTTCCTTTTCTCATCCATCACTAAAAGGAGAAAAGGAGATTCTAGAAAGGAGCAAAAGTACGAGAGCACTTTGTGGTCCATGACAACCATGGAACATAAAAATTAGACAAAATATTGTCCGTATTTAAAATTATGTTGTTCCGTGGTTACAAGAATTGAAATTGAAACAGGGAAAAAAGTTAGAAGAATATTAAAATTGCTTAAAACAATATCAAAAATTCAATTGATTGTTCATCGCATACTGTTTTATACCATAAAATTGAAACAGCATTTTTTTTTAATAAGAGGAAGTTTGTCCACGGCAACCTACACACGACCAAAATGGCGGCCGGCCGGTCGCGGTCCTATTTTTAACAGTTTTTACAGAAACTTCTTAAAAGAGTCAGAGTTTATGTGATATTTTGAAAATTATTTACGAAATGAATGGAAACTTCGCAAAACCTTGAAAATTAAAATGACCAAGAAACAGGCAAAACCTTGTTTTCCAAAAACAATTGTATTTGATTTTTTTTCTTTGTTTCGAAAAGAAAAAGAAATCAAAAGCATATGTTCCTTTAAATTTATTGAAAAAAAAAGTGTTCGGAGCCCAAAAAGTGTGGTGGGAGCTGTCACAAATTGTGACAGGTTTATTACATTTTTCGTTTTTACATTGGCAATTTCGTTTTTTTTTGTAAACGGGACCTGCCAGAACGAATCGAGCTCTAGTGCCTGCTTGAGAAAGTATTATGACTTTGAGAAACAAAAATAACTGTTTTAGAAAATTTTAATCGAGTTTCAGATTTCAAAATTTTAAAGGGCGCGTCCGCTAATTCCAAAATTTTTGAGATTTTTATATCAATCGATCCAGAATTTTGGGTCGGGAAGGAAACTTTCTTGAGGATAGTCCGAAAATCACTCGTTCTTAAGATATATGCCAAAAACAGGTCAAAAAAATCAACGTAGAAGGTGCAGATTAGGGAGAATAATAAGGAAAATAATTCACGTTTTTATTGATTTCTTTGCGTGCACCCTCAAGGATTTTGCCTCTTGTCAAGGTCCCTAATCTGCACTAGAATAACGTGTCGACAGAGACTCGTGTCGATTAAAAGAAAAAATAACTGAAAAATCGTGTCGACACGAGTCGACACAGAGTCGACTTTTGTCGATTCCTGTCGACAAAAGTCGACAAATGTCGAGACGAGTCGACACGATACCGGCCTAACTTTATGATGGCCTAACTGTTGCAAATTGAATTTTCCAGGCCACTACAGTTATGACCTAGAAATGGTCTATAATTATCCCGGTGTGATTTCTAGGCCGTTTATAGCCTAGAAAACTCAACTTATAAAAGTTAGGCCACCAAGTTAAAATGACCTGGAAAACACATTAGATGAAAATTATACTATTTATTGCATAGATGTCCGGAGTTCGGAATCCGTATTCCGGATCCCGAGAATTTTTTGGTTCCGGATTCCGTATTCCGGACTCCGGAATATTACTTTTATTCCGGATTCCATGAATTTTTTCATTATTTTCGTATTCCGGAAAATTATTGTCATTCCGGATTCCGGATTCCGTATACCGTAAAATTTTCATCTGTCCGTATTCCGGATTCCGAGAAAATTATTTTATTCCAGATTCCGTCACTCAAAAAAGTCATTCCGGACATCTATGATTTATAGGCATAAAAAGTTTTGCGTCCTAGAAAATTCATTTTGAGAAAATTAGGTCACCATATAGTTAGGCCGGTGTCGTGTCGACTCGGCTCGACATTTTTCGACTTTTGTCGACACGATATCGCTCTTGGTGAAGGTAGGTGCGATTTTTGTCGACTCCTTCAAAACGACAATTTGACTCAAAATCGATCGACAATCGTGTCGACACGTTACTCTAATCTGCACCCTCTACGATAATTTTTTGGACATGTTTTTGGCATATATCTTAAGAACGAGTGATTTTCGGACTATCCTCAAGAGAGTTTTCTTCCCGACCCTTAATTTCGGATCGATTGATATAAAAACCTAAAAAATTTTGGAATTAGCGGACGCCCTCATTAAAAACTCATCAATAATATGTTACCAGTGAAGCCCAAATTTGAAATTTGTGAAACAGAGAAACGTCGAAAGACAATGTGTCAAGAAGTTTTTTAAATCGAAATTCTCTAAAACCGCTTTTGAAAATCGCCGAAAATAATGAACATGCAGTATCTAAAAAATTCAGAGTCTCATACCTTCTAGAAGCAGTAAAAATAGTTTATAACATTTTTTCTGATCAATTCAATTTTTGGAAGCAAAACAAAAAAGCCTATGAACATCCTACTATTTTTTACCTTTTTGGTTTTTTTTCAGCTTTTTTTGTCTTGAAAAAATGAAAATTGTTTATGAACTACCATGAACACTCTACTAGAACGGCAATTTTCAAAAGCGTTTTCGAGAATTTCGATTCAAAAAAATTTCTTGAAACATTGTCTTTCGACGTTTCTCAGTTTCACAAATTCAA